GTCAACATTGGAGGACCTATCTAAAATGTGAGAACTTAAATGTGAGGGTTCAGTTGATTGATTCTTAAATGTGAGAACTTAATTGACTTTTATGACATAATAATAGGAGGACCTATCTAAAAATTCTTCCAAATATTTAACAGTAGCTAATTTGACAAATATTGTCAAAGATGAAAATTTATAATTGACTATTTCAGTTAAGTTGTTTGTATCATCGATCAAAAAAAAAGTTGTTTGTATTTCAACTCTTAAGATAACGACCATGACGTGAAAAATGTGCCCCATAAGTTACAAAATTGAATTCTTACTACTCATCCTAGATACAAAACCTTTAAAAGAGTTGTTCACATGGATAAACACAAAAAGGCCCCTCTTTCATGAGGACCTCGCAAATTGGGCTAGGCAATTTGCAATTATTCCTGCGAATCAAAACATTAGAGATCTTCAACGCTACACTTTGGACATGAGAAAAATCCTACTACATCATCAAGTATTTGATTTTTTTTTCCTGCAATGGGCTCATTGTTCGAGCAACATTGTGCTGAGGTGTAATAAATGACTATAAGAGTGTCAAACTTTTTCAAATTGAAAAGCCAATTACACTGGCTGAGTAAGCTAAAGACTCCTCTTAGGTAAAACATGGGCAATTTTTATATTTTTAAGTTGAGGACTTTTTCATTTTGCAATTACATTTATTTGATTTCAATTAAATAAATGATACACGTATGAAACAATCCAATGTTGACAGTATGCATTGTATACCGCTTGGGAACTTTGATTTTCAGGCTTCAATTGCATCCTATATGATTTTTTCTTTACATTTTTTTTACCCCAGGGGTGTCAGGGGGAGGGGGTTTGGGGGTCTGGAGTAAACTGGATCAACCTCACTCCATTGAGAATTGAACCTGGGATCTCTCATAAGGGAGAGTGAGTCGGCGACTAGCTGAACTGGACCGCTTCCTCTGCATCCTATATGATATAACATTTCATACATATATTTAGTGGCATGTGTCACAATTTTGTTAATGTTAAAAGCTTAGCATTTTTTAAGAATATAAATGTTTAGCACTAAAGATGCTCTTAACAAATTTTTATGGAGACAAACATTGATTGTGCTAGTAAAAATATAGGAAACAAATTAAAGTCATATTCCATTAACGATTTCAATGATACGGAGAGATTTTTATAGCAAAAAAGAAGAAGAGATTTTTATAGCAGGTCCTTCCTTATTTGCACACTATAATGATGTTTGAAAGGAAAAACGGTAGAGAAAAAGTAGATGCGACAACCACATAAATTGTGGAAAAGTGAAATATTAGTCCAAACTCATTGTCTATATTCTTAGGAGACAATAACTTAACTACACCAAACTTTTAAGGGTGTGAGGTAAGCACCCTGACTTTACATATGTAATAAAAATACCTCAAAATTTATATAAAATTGAACTTAGCACCATCATAATATTTTTTTTGTTTCACAAATGTAAACTTTAGTGATAAAATTTAAAATTTAAATTACTTCGGGCATTTATAATGATGAAATTAGTGATCTAAGCTTCAATGTTTCAAGTGAATAACATTAACAAATAAGTTTACAATGTTAATTGCACACTAAAAACGCTTAGATATTACTCAACACTATAATTTTATATTTGTGAAAGAAAAACATATAGTCATAGTTTGAAGATAATTTTTTATATAAAGTTTAAAGTTCTTATATTAGATTTGCGAGTTTGGGGTGCTTATCTCACACCCTTCAAAAGTTCGAAGTATTTAAATTATTTTCCCCTATTCTTAATATTCATCTGAGTTCCTTTTGATTTCTTGAAATTGAATACTTGAACATTATATTTAACAAAATGTAAAACACCAACTATGCTTATTTTCCTTTCCATTATCCAAGGCAAATTTAAACGTAAGAAAAGAATATTATTTATTCTCTATTTTTTCTTCTTTAGTATTTAAAAGTTATAATTTTACATATGTTGAAGCAATCGCCGTGAAGGCCCAAATGCAAAAGATGAGAAACGTAAGATGCATATATTGTGAGAAAATTTAATTTGGTCTTTATGGAATTATAACAAGACTAAAATAGGACCATCTATTTTTATTCAGAGACTAGCTAGGAGCAAATTTCAATTTTAAATCATTCAAATTAATTTTATAATCCTATGGTAAAAATACCAATGCTTAAGGTACCGTCATACTTATACCTTCAAACGTACTCAAATTTAACCAACATTCGTGTATCTCAAATGATTTACATATTTGGAAAATCATTAATATTAAAACCAATCCTTTTTCGATGCATACAATGAATCATTTTGTCAATGTATTTGGCCTGCGTTTTTTAGACCATTTTTTCTCTACCAAGTACAAAACAGACATGTTTGCCTTGCAAAACGTTGATCAAATCATACATCTAGTCTCTATCATCACTTCTTCAGCCCGCCTTCCAAAATGGTGAGTTCTCTAATCCTTTTACCTTTCCCTTGTTTCTCATCATGGTCATCATAAACTTAATACATTGTTAATCAAAGTGTTATCCCCTTTCAGAAACCAGTAGCCATAGCGGTTCTAGAGGAAAGTTCAAAACAAATAAGGTTTTCAACGCTAAATAAACCGCACTACAAGTTTGCTCATCCTGCTAACCATTCTAGTGGGGGCGGGGGGTGCAATCGGAGAGCTTCACTTCTTGAATACTCTAGAAGACTACGAACTGCAGCACGATCAGAAACGTCGTCAAGAACCGATGCTGAATCGGAGATATCTAGGTTCTTGTTGCCGATCACTCCAAAAGAATACAACATCATACACAACACTCAGGTATATATGTGTATTCAAAAGATTGGACGGACCTATCCCTATTTTTACCCAGATACCGGATCAACATTTCAGTTCATAAAAAATAGGACTGGACAAATTCCCATTCTATCTTGTAAATTTTACAAAATAGCGAACAAACTTGTCTGGAATCATAACTAGATATTAAAACAAAATTATTTTATCCTTAGAAATGACATTAAGGGTCTGTATGACTTGTCTGTTTTTATAACTTCTAACACCTTATGAGACATATATTAATCTCACATTATTGAATTATGTGACAAAGAAAGTAAGGATCACACTTACGTTATAAGTTATACTACAAGTGCAAACCCACTTACAGAAAATGTTATAAAAGAAATACATGGATCACACTTTTACCACATCAAACCACATTTGCATCAATGGTGATCATAGAAGTCATGTTACTTGTTTGCAAGTTCATTTGTGCTTGTCACATTTTGCTTAGTAAAATATACCGAATAATACATACTGCAAAACTGTTTTTTACTGTAAATCCTGGATCCATTCAGCATGAAGTCGAGTTATGTATCATGGACCTTATGATGATGGCATTGAATAACATAACATTAGTGTAAGAGATAAGCTAGCTTCATATATATAAATGGAATTTTCAAATGCACATGTTCTTGAACAGGAAGTAGTTGCACTGCAGGGGAACAAACCAAAACATGCAACAACTCCGGCTTGTTTGGGGAACTGGAAAACCATAATGCCAAGCTTTCTTAGACCAATTATGGTATCACAAAATAAAAAGAATAGAAAGAAAAACAACCGATTTCCGACAATGAAAATGATGAAAGCTGTGTTGAAAAGCTTCCAGGTAATACCGCATATGTTTATACTATATCAAACCAAGTTTTAGTACGGAGTAGTTTTCTTCTGGTCCATCACTGTTTCGCTTCATGAGTTGAGGGATAATGCAAATGAGCAATTTATGTTCTGCCAGGTACGAGAGAAGGCAGGATTCCTTCATAAGTTCTTCACTTCGCTAAGAAAGCGACGATAAGTAATTATCTGATCCATTGATGTACTTTCACAACATGTACTCACATTGAGAGTTGAGAGGGGCCATAATTTAACACTTGGAAAGAAAGAGAATACTACTGTATTTTTTCTTAGAAAAGAGTGTTGCTTGTTGCTTAACCAAGGCAGCAATTTGACATTTTTGGTGCATAACAAGTGCAAAAAATCTATACTTAAATCTTATTAACATTTTATGGAGTAAGGTTTAGTTGAAGATCTATCTCAATTCATCAATCATCATATGATCCTGATTTATGATTATTTTAAGAAAAATATCATGAAATAAGTAGTTACCTACTCCTTCAGCAACAAATGGTCTAACACTGCATTGTTCTCATTATTAGTTGGTTACAAAAGTTCACAGTAAACTTTGTAATGGAATTGTTTAACTATCTTACAAGTGTATTTGAATTTTTTTTTTCATTTACAATTCAAAACAAAATTGCAACCATGATATATATATATCCCAACATGTCTGATAATTCCATTTAGTTTCATGCTTTAAATATCTTTCCAACATCTTGATCAGATATATTTATAGATACTGAAGTGGATTGGATTTGTTCATTTTGATTTTGTTCTCCATTGCAAAAGAAAGTCCTATTACTTCTCAAGACTCGCTATGTGTATTCTCTTTTATATCACCTTCAATATTATTTCCAATTGAACTTGTTATCTTATCTTGTTTAAGTAATAAAAATTCACCAACTTTTCAGTTTTCATTTAAAGTTGGTAAATTTAATCTTTTGTGATTAAAGAATAGGATTTAAAAAAAAATCCAAAATCAGCACCCTGTATAACACTAGGAGTCTCAAGAACACAAAATGTAAAACAAAAATAAATGAATAAAACTAAAAGTTAGGGGCTTTTAATTAGCATGGTCTCAAACAAGATGTCTTCTAATCTCATAATAAGTCACCAAGGTGACCCAGCCATGTGTAAATGTCACAAAATATTGATAAGTATCAAAAGACATATCTGAAAAAATGATAATTTAAAGATCTTCTCTAAGAACTTACAAAAGAAAGTTACTTTTGTTGGATTTTTCCAATAATGAGTACGATTTTTTAATTAATTCAAAAATTCCGATATTTCCATAAATACCAGTAACTGAGACAGAAGTAAGTTTCAGGAAACAAGTTCATGATTAATAGTCTGCTATCTGAGCTCATCATGCTGTTGGAGTTTCACTATTTTACCATTGTTTATACTACACGAATATGATACCAATGGTTCTTATGTAATTAATTTATTTAATTGATACAAATATATGTCGATAAATGTATGAAATTCAATCAAGATTATAAAGAAGTGCTTACATAAATGGCAAAAGGAACCCGAACGACATGGTTTCTATCACCCAACAGAATCATCTCCCCAAAAGAGTAAGCATTTGTAGGCTTGGTTGCATTCAACACAATCATGAGATGCCTTGAAGCATCTCCCCTGATCAAGAAGTTCTGCGGCATGACAGAAACCCTAACTCCAACCGGGTCTCTCATTATGACCCGATACCTCTCGTCCGACCCGCCCACATTAGTCACCCTTCTCATCACCGTTCTAGATCCAACCAAATTAGAGATCGTCACGCTCGGCGTGTTCAGATCTGAGCACCACACCCTTTTGTTTTCCGGGCAGCCAACGCCAACCGCCCGCCTCACCGATTTCTCGTCGACGCCTGGAACGGCACATAAGAACTGGATGTACTGTTGGAAGTGGGTGTTGAAGACGAGGCCCGGGTTGAGGGCCCGGGTGGGATTCACAAATCCGGATCCGAAGTCGAATGGGGTTGCGGGGGCTAGCTGGGAAGCTTGTTGGGATAAAATGGCGCCGCCCGATCGGTCGGTTACGTCAGCGGATGTCATCATTGCTGATGTGATGGCGGATGGCCTCCAGCTAGGATGCCTCTGCTTGATCAGCGCAGCTATGCCGGCTATGTGAGGGGTCGCCATGCTCGTTCCAGAAACCAAGGCAAAATTTTGACCTGATAACGGAGGGAATTATTAGAGCAACTCCGATGGTCTCCACCTCTCCAGCGGGTATAATTTGGAAAGAAAAATACTCCAGAAAATTTAGGGGGAACATTAATTTAAAGGACAAATTTTTAAAATTCCACTAAAAATGTTTTTTATTATCAAACTATCCTGCAGAAAAGGGTGGAGGGCTACAGCCTACATGTTTTTAACGCAAGTGAGAAGAGGGTAATAATTGTGACATGAACCTATTTCAAGAAGAATATCAAAGAAAATACGCCAATAATATCTAAGTATGTGATAAATGAATAATAAGGACATGTAAGGGGCCCTTCACGGTTCCAGTTCTAGACCAGCCGGTTCTGGGTAGAAGTAGGGAGGAAACAAAATCTTAACGCAGAATGTTGATTCCCATTCTGCTTTGAAACCGGGTCAATACCGGTTCTTTTGAAAAAAATAAAAAATTGAAGCGAAACAATATAGCCAGAACCAAGTAGAAAAAATTGAACGAGTTCCAGTCCAAAACCGAAAATCCAAATAACCATTCATGTTCTTTACTCGCACGGTTAAAGTTTAGTCTGATTTTAGCACCGGAACCGGTTCCACCCGTAAGGACATGTAAAATGGATATGGAGGACTGGAGGTTAGGGACTAGTATATAAAAATATAGTGTTTACTCTTTACCTTTGATATATTTGTCTCCCTCACTGTTAGGACTCCAGGCAGCCCATATGGAGGAACCAGGGGCCATGATGTTAGGTTTAAGAACATCAGCTGTGTCTAGCAGTGCGTTATTAACATCAGGACCCCTTGATGAATATGATGCCACAATTGGACCAGCTCCGGTATATATCGCTCTCCTTCCGTCTAAGATCCTTGCTGTTGCTCTGAATGCAACTGCTCTCCCATTTCTGCTCCTCAAAGTGTTCATATTGTAGTATTCTCGTAAAGCCTATACAGACAAAGTAAATAAACAAACCAACAAAACAAACTGATCCTCACAACAAGAAGTTTTATTGGATATGTAGTTTTTTAAAATAATTCCAGCATTATTTCAAGAGTATTTTAAACTTTATTCAAAGTTCAAATAAAAAATATTAAACAGACGTGTGAGATCAGGTCTTGGAATACCCTAGCTAATCAGATTGATATCAATTCTATTAGTATAGTTTGGCCCATGAATATGTCTAGCCGTGAGCTTTCTTGGGCTGAAGCACAATGCAATTCTTCCAAGTTTTTGAATTTTAAGGTGCTATTTTTTCTGTTTAAATTTACCAGATCTTTGAGGCCACTAGTTCTATGTACAATGTCTTGTTGATTTTCATCACATAAGTGGCTACAATGATCAAAAAGTGACAAAAATCATAGCAACTCCCCAAAAGTAGAATAAATTAAAAGTTGGGAGCTTGAGGCCACCAGTGGAAAGACCTAGTCCCTAATAGCTCCGGAACCAAAAATAGAGTCTTGTTGAATTTCTAGTATTGCTCATAGTTCGGACAATTTCTTGCATTGTGGCGATTGTAATAAATCCATACATGACTCTGAGGCTCAGTGTCGCTAAGTTTTTAGCACTTTTTAGCTTTGCCTAAGTACAATTGAAATAGGGTTGAATCCTGTATTGTTAAAAGCCTCTTCTACGATGTACGATTGACCTATCAAAAATTCGTTAATAAAACACAAACTTGGCAGGATCCCAGAGTAGTCTATTGAGTAAGCATATTTCATGTCATTTCTATCTTGTTTGGGTTTCTTTTCATTCATCGAAACATGGTTCACATCAGACGTTGAGTGCATTATAGCATAGTTGAGTACTCCCAAGTGGTTTATTTTTGTTCTGTTCATAAGCCCCCCAAATTACTTGTTTGTACCCAAGATTTAAATGCTCTGAGGACACTAGTTCAATTCATGGATGACAACATCAAGTTTATCTGGTCATTACTTCAAGGTCTATGGGCGATTCTGGTCATGGATGGCAACATCAAGTTTATCTGGTCATTACTTCAAGTAAAATGACTTGAACACTCAAGTTATAAAAAAAATACTCCCAATACAACAATGCATTAAAAGCTCCCAAATTCTCTATTGAACCCTACATGTTGCACGTGTTATCGACATAAGTCACTGCATTCTAACTTTCAAAGTTCATAAAATAGTTTCTTCCGACTAAACAATCCATGTTCATACAATAACATCTTCTAAGAAAAGATATAAAAGTCTCTAAATCACCGGGACTCTGGGAGCTTCCTATGTAGAACCCAAAAACTTTGTTGTTTCCTGGGACTATCTTGTATCTCAAGTTTGTAGATTTCTCGATCTAAATGCTATTAGTTGTACGTTTGAAATAACAATTTTTATAATTGTTTTAAAATGTTAGACTTCTTATTAGCTTATAAGATAAAGTCGGATGCTTTTGACATAGATCATAACTTTATATAGTTAGAACAATGTTAGTCATTTCTTATTAAACAACTAAGAAATCATTTAAAAATTACTCAATTCATAAAAGCTACTCAATTCATAACTCGGAGTAAGAGTTACTAAAAAGCTCCAAAAATGTGTTAATCTATTAGTGACAAACTTAAACAATATGATAATGGGATCAATAAAGCAGATACATACCGTGGAGGACTCCAAGTTGTTTAAAATAAGCCCGGGGACTTGTAAGGTCAATGTGGCACCCTTAATCTGTTCTGAGGCAATGTCAGGGTCCATGGTGATCACAAAGCCAGCAGCACCAGCCTTGCTCACAGTATCTGCAACTGCTGCAATACTTGCTGTCTCAGACTCGAAATCGTAGGTGTAGGTGCAGATTAGCAGCTTCCCTCGAACCAATGATGGGATGAACTGCCCTGGATCTTGGCAGCTCTCTACTGTCAAGAGACCGGCAGTTGAGTTCCGTTCACATACATCCACTGCTGCTGCTAGTTGAAAGAACTCTTCTCCTATTGTTGGAGCTGCAAAATTGAGGCATAAAAAAATTAAGCAAAAGGCTTTCACAGATGGATCAAATATGTTTGGAATGAAAAAATAATTATAAGTTGGTATTTCATTCAACATGCTCTAATAAGTACTAAATCGTTCAAAGCTGGAACCCGAAGTGAAAGAGTCTAAAAACTGTATAGAGGTAGTACAAACTAACAGTTAAAATCATGGACTTTATAATCTCTGTGAAGATTTAATTTCATCTTAAATAGTATTAATAATAATTAACTTACTTGAAGATGTATTTACTAAGTTGAAAATTGATTAAAACTCAGTCACACAAAAGCTCAACACTACAGGTGGTAATATCATTTGAAGATGGAACTCAAGTCTTAGACCTTAAAAAGAGCCCTGTACATTTAAGATTACATCAATACAAACTAATACTCAAAGAATTGGAAACTCTAATCTTTATTAAAGTTTCAAGCTACTTCTTATAAAATTAAAATGAAGAGTAATTGCCCCATAAGATGATGAATCGTTCAAAGCTTTGAAGCTCTTCGGTACCATATTATATTTGAGTTTTATTCTAAAGTTAAATCCAATTGGAGTACTCCATGTTCTTATATGTATTGTAACTCGAGTCCTTATTTTGTAGTTTCTTTAACAAAGTACAAACCAGTATGCGAATGTGAAGACTTAACAACTTTATGGACTTGACTTTATGGAAAGAAGAATTTTATATGATTTAAAACAGTATCCTAACTATATCAAAATATTTAAGAACATGATACCATTTTAAAAAATTGACTTACATAATTTGTCATAATAGTATGATCTCAATGAAGTATCTCTAACAAGAAATTCATTTAATTAATTGATAAATCATATATCGCACATAGCAAATCAGACCATTTCTAGGCTAACCAATTCCGAAAGAAACCAAAACATAAGGCAGATATAGTCATGGCAAATTTGCAACAAATAATAATTGCACTTAACTCATGATAACCTCATAAACACTTGGTAAAACTATTAACTACAGTCTTTTTTCAAATTCACATGAACTTAAAGTTATCAAGTAAGATTATTTTAACTTTCATCGTAGTATCGTACCATTCTGAAACAATTAAATGTAAGTAAGACATCAATTTGCTCCAATCAATAGCTGAGACAACAAAATGTATAATGTATTCATCAAATTCTTAACAAAATGGATGATACTTCAGGAAAGAGTAATTGGACAAACTTACGGGAGAGTCCGGTACCAGAGAAGGTGTGTCCGGTGCCTAAAATGATGGAATTGGAGTATCTGCGATCGGTAGTGCTAGCAGCAACACTGGTGATCCACGGGCTGAAAGAAAGCATGGATCTTGCCGACGGGCCGCCGTTTCCGGCGGCTTGAACCACCAGAACGCCAGCCCTCGTGGCAAACAAAAGCTGGGTTTCCAAGACATTCAGGAAAGCGGAAGGGCCTGGTGGAACACTTGATGGCCCCACTGATAGACTAAGAATATCAACTCCATCTTCTACTGCCTTTTTATATTCCAAGCCAAAAAAACGGGTAAAGGGTCAGTTTGGTCTTTGAAATTGCAAAAAAGGGGTCAAATAAGTCCTTATATAGAAGATTCTGTCCGGACGTGCCATTTGAGGTGGCTCCCGGTAGAATTTTTTGATGAATTTTTTTGAGCATCTTATTCATTAAGTCTAGTTTACTCATACCAAATTTCAGCTAAAAATTCAATCGGGGAGACATTCAAATAAATTCTTGAAGATAACTGCGCTTTTAACGGCACAGTTATCTTCAAGAATTCATTTGAATGTCTTCCCGATTGAATTTTTATCTGAAATTTGGTATGAGTAAACTAGACTTAATGAATAAGATGCTCAAAAAATTTAATCAAAAAATTCCACCGGGAGCCACCTCAAATGGCACGTCCGGACAGAATTTTCTATATAAGGACTTATTTGACCCCCTTTTTGCAACTTCGAGTACCAAACTGACCCTTATCCCAAAAAAAAACAGTTCTCAAAGTTATGAATGAATGATGAATGAAGTAATGAACTCAATAAACTAATGTACATTTCAAAGATGTCAAATTTTGGTCGGTAATATAACTATTAATTTGATCCTTCTACTATCATGAAAAAATCTATTAAATTCTTGTACTTCTAAAAAAAATGAATTAAATCATCGAATATTCTAAAATCGTTCAATTGTCAATTAGTTAGTCATATGCTGACTTGGCCCACATGTGAAAACCAATTCAGCAGTGACTTTGTTGATGTGGTGCACATGTGGAAGCTCAGTCGACTATTTCCCGATGACGTAGCATGCATATGGACCTCAGTGTGTGCCACGTCAGCGGGTCACCAGGTCACATGGTAAGTAACCTGCTAATTGACTCAATTGAACATTTTTCAAAGTTTGGGGTTGATTTTTTAAAGTACGAGGACTTAATTGGTGTTTTTGTAATAGCACAACCGCCAAATTTACCGTTTTTCTCTTTACATATCAAAATGGTTAAAAAATAAAATTGAATTAAAATGTTTTTTGTTAAAAATGTTTAAAATTTATTATTTTCACTAAAATATATAGATGTTAAAGTAATTAACAATGTTTACCACCATTAACTAGAAAGTGGGGTATATAGTATTAAAATGCAGTACTCTAAAAGATTTTGATAAGATAAATACTAGATATTTGAGTAATAAACGTTCAAGTTAACAAAGTTATGCTCAAAGAGTCAAACGAACTCCGAACTTCTTTGAGAATGGTTGTGTGAGGAATGAAAAATGTTTTAAGCTTTGGCCATTTGTGGAACCTGGTCAACTGCAGCCACAACATCTGACATGTATCCTCCAAAAGAATATAGAGCTTTGTACACAGCAATCCTAAACAAGATCCAATAGAACTATTAATTATAGAGATTATTTACTATGTGAAAAGTCCTATATTAGTAATTATACCTGTTTCTCGATAGAACAGAAGCAGTTTTCAAAAGAACAATATATTTAAAACAGGTGTAGATCATAGTTTAATGTTTGACAATTATGCTTCTATGGAGCCATCATGCTTAGCAAGAAGTATAAGTAAATATCTAGCTCACACTCTAGTCTGATAAATGTCTAGTCTCTACGTATTTTATAAATGTTCAATTATGGTTTGATATGGACTGGTCTGGTATTGAAAACGGTCCAAATAAAAACATCATAAATCTTTGTGGCAAAATTGTCCCGCCAATTCTAAAGTACAATTGAGATAGGTACATCTTTTATTATGTTATATTCATGTGTTATATGGAGTTTATATGTTAAGGAAATAAAGTGGGAGCAAGAAAGTATATTTAAAATAGGTAAGACTCTGTAATATAATGTTACCCTGCGCCTGGAGCCATCCCACTTGCATAACCATATGTGAATCTGTTTGCCATGACCGGAATGCGGTGATTTCCAGCTGCTGTTGAAGCAGTATGGCTGCAAATTCGCAGCTCTTTCCTTACATTATTATGGTCTTATTATTTTAGAAAATGGGAAGAGTAAAAGCAAAAGATTTTCCTCCAGTAGTATTAAAAAATCAATGGTGGAGCTAAAAGTTCATAAAATATTACTAGGAGTGGGAGATTTATATTTGAGTACATTTTTTATAATTTATAATTATTACTCCCTCAGGTTTTATTTAATCTTCACACTTCACACAAAATAAGGAAAGAAATTTGACTTTACTGTAGAGTACACTGTTGAGGCACTGTTTGACATTGTTTGGCACTATAGAGACACTGTTTGGCATTGTTGAGACACTGTTTGGCACTGTTTGGCACTGATTAAAAACCGGAGGGAGTAGCTTTTTTAGTAAATACATGCATAATTTCCTTTGGTGCTGATTAAAATAATGCTTACTGCGTGAAACATTTTACTTAAAAGGGGATTTTACAATTAATTACACAACCACACATCTTATTGATAAAGTCATAAAGACAAACGTTTTTCTAGTGACTTGTTATCAAAATTCTTGAAGTTAATGTAACATTGTCTGATTTTTCAATTTCACTGGTAATGTGTTTTCACTGATTTTTTAGTCAAATGAATTTTAGGAGTTGGGCAATGGAAGTTGAGAGAGAGAAACTGTGAAGAAGATAGAAACATTTTAGTACTCCGTATTTTTTAGAACTATATGTTTTGGTTATTATAAAAAATTAAAAGTGTTTTTTGTCCATTGAAAATCTGGTAGTTATATTTTTTACCGTTCTTTCTAATAATAGTGTATCCATCTCAATTTGTATTTCACATCCACTATTATGTCATGTGTACCAAATTTTGTCATATTTATTCTTTTTTATTTATTCATCTCTATCATCCTATCTCTATCTCTCTCCTATGCCACATAAGATGGACTACACTCTACTAGATTATTTCACTAGAGATGCTCTTAGAGCATCCCCAATGGGATAGTGGATGAGAGTAATGTCTATCCTACGTGGCAGAGGAGAGAGATAGAGATAGAATGATTATTTTAATTCAACAATGCTTGATGTACCCACTTTTATACCCACCATGTTTGTGGAAGTTTTTTTTAGTCTGTGAACCCGGTTTCACAGATAATGTTTTGTCTGTGCAAAATGTTGTCTGTGAGCCGAGGTTCACAGACAAAAAAAACACTTCACAAACATAGGTGTGTGCAAAAGTGGGTATAAGAGTGGGTACAAAGATCATTTTTTATTTTAATTTAATATGGAGAAAGTGGTGTGTATGAGAAATGAAAAGGAAGAGAGAGATAGAAGTAAGATGTAGAGAATGTTTATGACAATGTCCACAAATAGACTTTACACGGGAATCGATGAGTGAATGTGGATGAAAAGTGGATTAAAAATGATGTAGAAAAATGAAAAATAAAATAAATGTAAAGATATGTAGGTCCTACACATAAAATTTGTGAGATAAAAAATGAGGCCATGTGTAAGAGTGTGTAAAGAAAGTAGACATCCCCATTGGGGATGCTCTTAGAAGATTAGTTTGTCTCTAAAAATATAAATTTCATTATTAGTACAAAATTATTAATATTACTGTTTATATTTGGTTATTAATAATTTATATATTGACTTTAATTGTGATCAGTCCTCCTGATTCAAAATGGGGCAAAGAAATTAGAAATTGGTCTGGAGGTTCTAGTAATGTACTTGCCTTCCATGACCATCAGCATCATAAGGAGAAGCATAATGACGCGAGACATTAAAGTCTCCAGCAGCAATGGCAGCTCGCGCGAAATATTGGGCCCCGACAATTTTATTATTGCAAGCCGTTGCTGGGAAGCCGTCGCCAGTGGTACATTTTCCGGTGAATTTTCTAGACGTCATTAGAGGTCTACCAATGTTTTCTGGAGTTGTGAAGCTAGGATGCATTGGATTAATTCCGGTATCGATCATACCTATGACGACTCCTTCGCCTGAGATCCTGGGCCCACCGAGTTTGGGCCAAACTCCATTGGGAATTCCCAAAAACTCTGGTGTGTGTGTTGTCAACTTCTGCATTTTAACATCTTCATATACGGCTCTAACTCCCTCTGCTTTGCGCAAAATATGAAACGCCTACAAGGATGTTTATGTAATTGCACGATGAGATGATTGACATACTACGTAGTTTATAACACATTTCTTATGCCTTTCTTTATCTTCATCACAAAGAAGTCTTCTTAATTATGCTGAAGAACACTGTTATGAACATGACTTTTTAAAGAGACTATTTAGGGAGGGTTAAATGTGTCAAACTCCCCGCTCAGCCACTCGATTGTATTAATTCTACTATTAATTTCATATGATTCAAAAAATCAGCCATCTATAGTTTGACTAATTAATTTAGTATTGGATAAAACAAAACAACATAATACTCTTATTAATTTAAGTATTGGATTAACATGTATTTTTAACCATATTTTTTACAAACATGCATGATTAACTATAAAACTAATACATGTGATTTTCAAATATATTACTAAATTTATTGATTCAATGTGTTATGAGCATGATAATTAAATTTCTAGCACACGAGGTTTGATGGGTATTTTACAATTGAAGGGATTTACTATGCAAATTTTGCATTAAATCCGCAAATGAAATAATGGATTATTCCTATTTCTATGCTTACCTCCATTGCACAAAGGTATCTTTGCTTTTTTATCCAACCACATAAAAAAGATACTACATACTAGTATGATATAACAATTTAAGACTCATATCCAAATCTCAATTTACTTTGATAAGTTTTTTCCCACACATACCTCATCTGATTTCACATGAATTGCAAATCCATTTAGTAAATGAGTGTAGCTATATAGTTTGGTGTAATCACTTCTTTTCAGAAGAGAGCCCAGCAAGATATCGTGTTGCTCCATCGCCTTTTCCTTGTGGATTGACACATTTCTAGAAGTACTCCTGCAAATGAAGATAAATTCCAAGCATATAAATATATCTCTCACCTATCTAAAAAATCTACCTGGCTAGACACTATATTGCTAGGGCTGCTAGACTTTTCAATCCTTATTTCTTCTCTTATAACTTTGTCAAGTTTGACCAGTATGGTGGAGTAATAAGTTAAAAATTGTGTGATTGAGGTCTGTATAGATGACGCAAACTAATAAGAAACAAAAATTCATTACTATGTATCTAAAGAGGAAATGCCAAAATTATTGGAAAACCCATATGAATAATATTGTCAAAGATATATTAGGGACGTAAGTAGTGTTATTATGCTCATCTATACTCATGAAACATTCAATAATATGAAATTAAGTGAAAACGTACAGGAAAATGATAATTATACATGTTTGGCATATATCTTTCGTACACATAGGGTCGAATTGGGTCAAGAATCATTGTCTGCCAAACTTAATCGCAAAGAGATTGTGTCTATATATGGTAATTCTTCTGAAAAGCTGTGATTTGTTAATATAAATTATTAACGGCAGTGTGCTGACATTGATAGACGTGCCGCTCATCTGACAACATTATAATTAGGGGTGGGGGTTGGTGACCTTGATTTTTGTCAATACATTGGATGAATAAGGTCTTGTACATTGTTATTAGAAAGTGGAACCTATTTTTCCACTTCTCTTCTTTACCCTTAGTCACTGTGAGTTTTAACATTCCTGTTAACTGAGGCTTAAGCGGCATCTGCTGACAGCTTCGTCTTCGAGCAAACCTAATAAACGAGGGGATAATCAGCCTCAGATCTTCAGTCGATCATTCATCTACCAGCTCAATTAATGGTATTAAATTCAAATCCTCTTTCCTTATTGTGCTTCTACCACGCCCTCTACGTTGCTGTAAACGGCCTGTTCTGCCACAGCCATGGTTATCCAACACCCGGTTGGAAATTCAAGGGTTTTGTATATGGCTATAAATAATTCGTGCCTCAGCTAACCACATTCGGGATTTCTTGTCGTCGCTTAGTCCTGTAATTTTTTCACAATCTTGTCATTCTATTTGGTTTGAACTTAATTGTGGTAGAAGCGTTTGCCTCGTTTATCTATGTGGGTGTAAATAATCGTTCGCAAGGCAGTCTCTCTTACTGGCCAAAAAGAAGCCCATATCAGATTCTTTTGTTTCTGATTCTAGTTGTTAATGAACGTTTGTTAATTAACGTACGTAGTAACATTATGATTACGGAGGCAGTTAATTGGTTGTTTACAATACGAAAATGTCTTTCATTTGAATCACAATAATGAAATCTTTCAGTTATATGGACTATGGAGTACGCTTTTTGACTTTATTTAAATCTGAAATTTAAACAGCAGTTTATATTTTTCAAGCATGGGTGGCTGTGTTTTTTCCCCTCCCGTGTTATCCCAAAAGTCTAAAACAGAGCATAATGTCAGTCTATAGGAAGCAGAGTAATGTTTAGTTCAATAGTTTTGTTTGAACCATCACTCCCCTAGTGAGAATTGTTCCAAAATGTTTTTTTCCCTAGTGAGAATTGTTCCAAATTGTTTCCTTTAATATTTACTACTCAGTATTAAATATCTTTGGCTCTAACATGGTGTATCAAAAATATGACTGATTCGGCAATTTAAATAAGATATACTACGTACTTCGTATGAAACTTTCACACATTATTGAAGGACCTCCATGACAACCTCACATATAATGGGTATTCACAAAGAAGAATATTATTTTGACATTGGGCAAAAACTATCGCGCCTTGCGCGATCAAACGCTAGTACATATATATTGATAGACAATTTCTTGTCCATGACCATACATTACTTAGTTAGTGAAATTGATTTTTTTCGAAAGAGGTTGTTTCGGATCCGTTACATAAAAATTAAAATTTGTTGGCCAAGAGAAACAATCTAAAGGAGTGAATAGACTGTTTTGGAATTCTCTTTTTCGGTTGACGGAATCAAAGGGTACATTTAATCATATTTTTTGTTGAAATACATATATGTGTAGATTTGTTTTTCAACAAAGAGTACCATTATTCAAAAGTTTAGTTTTGAAAACTTTAAAACCCTCAAAATTATTGTTCAATACACGTCAGGCCTCGTCCAATTTAAAACTTTGTAAAAAAACTTTATTTATGCATAAAACAAGTTACATGAAAGTGTATGAAAAAGTTACATCCTAAATACATGTTCTTCGATCCTGATTTGTGAAAAAGAACTTTGGCTCTCGCAAATATTTTCGTATGTGACGTTTTTGGCAAAATGACTTCATGGAAATTAGAAAAGGACTTGCATTAAACATATTTGAAAAATGTCTAAGTTTATGTGTGTTTCTATGATAAAACAATTAAAAAAAGAGTTGTAAACAAATATCTCACATAATTTTATTAAACTTGTGAGTATATTATATTGTTTCCCACCAATTTTTACATTGCAATTTTCTTCTTTATTATTTACTTTCCAGTAATTTTGTAGGAATCAAAGGAATCCATAAATTATTTCCCATTATATATTATTCTGTATTTGATAGTGTCAATTATTGTATTCCCAATCACTTCTCTAATGAGTAATGAGTTTAGAGCCCAACACTAAATATTTTACAAATTCAAACAAGATTTCTTATCATTTTTTCTACCCGAGATTATATCATGCTTATAAACAAAATTTATAATATACACAAAACGTGCATCACATCATCACATTTACATATGAAGTATATTATTTCTTCGATTGTTACAATTCAACATATTATATATATCCTCTTCATTTGTTTCAGGTAGCAATGGATTGTGAGATTATAAAAAATAATAGAATTGTGCAAAAAAGGTGCTACAACTTAAAATTTTATTGTCCTTTCAAAGAAAAACTTAATACTTTATTGAGAAAATTTCCTAAATAGCATAAAAATAAGGGCAAAGTTCATAAATGGAACTATAATTGTTTATTATCAAAATATGACGCATCAACTCATATTTTAGAAGGTTTCATCAATTTAATCTTTTAACAAAACTAAATAAGTCATGTTTAGGGAATAAAACATACTTGATCCTATTTTAGATTCTTTTTTTGTTTTGATTCTATATTGAGTAACTTCTAAACTTTTATTTTGATTTGTCAATCATGATTTTGGGCATACAGACATTGTTTAAGTCAATTAAACAAATAAGTGACACCATAAAATTTTACTATTTCCCAAATGATGATAGGTGTTAAGGTGAAAGCAACATAAATAATGCAAAAAAATAGGAAGAAGCTCACTTGATTTTGGTGGATACAAAGGAATCATGTTCCATTAAGACCATAAAGATCTTTCCTTTTGCCAAGAAGAGTTTGAAAGCAGCGATAAAGTAAAGAGTAATTAGTATGTATGGAGACTTCATATTTAATCTAATGGGCAAAAACTGAAAAATGTATCTTATGAGGATGAAGTTTTTTCATGCACACATTCTAATTCTAAAGCATATGCATGTCTTTCTTATTTTTGAACTACCGTCTCCATGCATGGAGAATGACACTCTACTCATGCAATTGATAACATTGGGAGATCTTTTTATTATTTAGAGCAAGTTATAACCATTACAAAAATTGTTATAATTAACTTAATATTCTGATCACCTTTGAGCTCAGATCTAGAACGGATCCACAACTCGTATTTAGTAGGACTAAGTCTAATTATGTAGTGCTCCATAAGGTGAATAAAATCCTACATTGAATAATGGGAAATCATCTTGAAATGAATGAGAATTATGCTGAAAAGTCTGTGATGCTAGTTTTGTGTAGGAGATTTCTAGCACTGAAACCTTAATTTAAGAAAGTTGGAGATATTTTATAAGGCAACCTTGGCTATTGGGTTAGGATCCAAAGGAGAATCCAAATTTTGTACGTAAGGAGGGAAGACCTGCATGTTAACCGCCTCTCAAATCATTAGATGGCCCTGCAGGCTACAAAGCTCAACCCCTCCTTACAGAACAAAATTTACCTCCTAAGCTAAACCCCTAAGCTAAACCCCTACCCAGGGTCTACCATATCCTAACCTAGTGAAAGTCGAGGTCCCAAATGGGCCATAAAAACAATACCCATCACATGAACGGGTGCTACATATAATCAATATTCCTTTAGGTGTCCCCATTTAAAATTTTTGAAGTATTTATCTCATTCTAACTTGATATAAAATAATAAACTACTTTGTAATATATAAGAACATATATGGTTTGCGTCTCATATGAGGTTAATCTTTTTATGATGAAATATGGAATAAGAGCTCGTGAGAATGAGTTTAATTGTTTGTTTGACATCAATGATTTAGATATTCTAAATCATGTGACTATTCTAATTACCATTGATGTAAAAGTGTTGTAAATGTGATGTGATGTGTTAAATAATGTGATGATGCCACACACCCCCTTTGTAAGATTTTTTGTAAGAGTTTTTATACTTATTACAATGAAGTTTTAATATAATAAAGAGTACTAGAGCTATCAAAGAAGCAAGTTCATATGTTAGAAAACGGAAAATGAGTAAAGCATAAGGGCATTACGTTGTGGCTACTGGCTAATGTTATATAGAAAACACCTAATCAGTGAAATTAGGAAAGTGATTATGATTATGTCTCAAGTTTCTACTTTGTCAGATTCCATGGTTGCTTCAACATCAGCACAAAAAACATGAAAACACTAAGTATATGAAATGTAAAAAAGAGCATACTTGGATTGCAAATGTGAGTTATGATGCATTGTGGTAGGACTCAAGTTGGCCCCAATCTTTTGTGCTATACACCACAAAAGGAATAGTGAAGTTTCCAGTGTTCAGGGAATTCATGGAGTCTATCTGGCGCCCCGTAAAAGGAATATCTATCAAAGAGATAGGCGAGAAAAGGTACTTGTTCACTTTCTATCATATTGTTGACATGGAACGTGTTCTAGGTGGCGGACCGTGGCTATACAAACAAAATTTATTAGTATCGAGGGCGCTGAAACCGGGGGATGTCCCTCTTAGGGTCCCGCTGAATGAGGCTGAATTTTGGGTGCAGGTTCATAGCGTACCTTATGATTATATGAATTTAGGAGTTGCTAGGAGAGTTGGCAACTTCATTGGTAAATTTATCAGTTTTGATGAAAGTCAGTTTGAAGAGCGTTGGAATTCTTACATGAGAAATAGGGCCTGTATGGATGTCGGTAAGGCTTTAAAAATAGGTACGACGCTGAGGAAAGAGAGGGAAGCCGGACATAGAGTGGACTTTAAATATGAAAAACTGTCGAGTTATTGTTTTGCTTGTGGTATTATTGACCATGCTGACAGGTTTTGTCCTCTAGCTTACGAGTGTGAGAACAAAGTGATGGCTAAACCTTTTGGGGTTAATATTCGTGCTGGAGGGGGGGCTCAAAAGATGAAGGCCAACAAATGGATCGTGTCAGAAGACTCAAGCGAAAGCTCTCTGAACCATCTGGGAAGGAAACAGAGTGTTACGAGTGCCAGAGGTGAGGCCACTGGACCCCATGGGGTTAAGGAGAGCGGCACCGGAGCTACGGGAGGAGACTGCGGAAGGTGGAGGGGATAACATGGCCTTGGATTTGTCAAAAAATGGAGAGGAGGCGGGTTCAGACCTCTAGGCCCGCCGAGAGATTTGAGACTAGTCCGGGATAGCAGAGGCCGGAGGATGTTTGTCAGCTGTGGGAGACTGAAGTTGGGTTCCCACTACTTTATTTTCTTTGTCATTGTTTATTTTGATCATACTACATTTGTTTTTTCTGTTGCTTTTATTTCCGCCAGACTCTTGCATTAGGTTGGACGATGAGGGGCTATTCTTACCACGTTAGGCTCATTTAGACCCTCTAAATGAGTCATTTTATCTTCTTTTCCCTTGCTGAAGGCTTTGATATCAATTTAAGCCGCTTGTTCAAAAAAAAGGATTGAGATCCGATTAGGAAAGTCCCTTCGTTCAAAAACGAGGTAAGGGTCAGATTGGTACTCGAAGTTGCATAAAAATGGTCAAATAAGTCCTTACCGTCCGGCCGTCGCCATTTGAGGCGGTTCCCAGTGAAATTTTTTGATGAATTTTTTTGAGCATCTTATTCATTAAGTCTAGTTTACTCCTATGTTTAAAAAACCGACCCGACCCGGCCGGGTTGACCCGGAACCCGGTGACCCGGACAAAAAAAACCGGTTCGGTTTTTCAAAACCCGGAAATGGTCAAAAACCGGAAAAACTCGGCTGACCCGGGAAAACCCAATCAAGACCCGGACCCAAGAAACCCGAAAAACCCGGTAAAACCCAGTTTTTGGGCGTTTTTACCAAAAAAAAGTAATTTCTTTTTAATTTTTAATGCATTTTTTATACCAATAAAATTGCAATTTCAATACCTTAAAAAGAAAAACTACGTAATATATATATATATATATATATATATATATATATATATATATATATATATATATTTAAGAATTAACATCATGCCAAATTATAATATAGATGTACAATAAAAATAAAAATATCATGATATAATTTTATAAGATCAAAATATACATTGAAATATTATGAGAGTGTATTAAATGCTTAATAAGTAGTATTGTTAGTTGATTATTATGCATAATAACTAATTTTTATTATAATTTTATATATAATTATATGTTTACTATTATTATATAGATGTATAATCATTGACCGGTTTTCCGGCGTTGACCGGGTTGACCCACCGGGTCCGGGTTGACCCGTGACCCAGTCATGTGGCCGGGTCACTCTCCGGTCCGGTTTTTACAACATAGGTTTACTCATACCAAATTTCAGCTAAAACTGCAATCGGGAAGACATTCAAATGAATTCTTGAAGATAACTGTGCTTTTAACTGCGCAGTTATCTTCCCGGTTGATTTTTTAGTTGAAATTTGGTATACGTAAACTAGACTTAATGAATAAGATGTTCAAACCATTTCGTAAAAAAATTATACCGGGAACCGCCCCAAATGGCGACGGCCAGATAGAACCTCCTATATAAGGACTTATTTGACTCTTTTTATGCAATTTCGAGTACCAATATGACATTTACCTCTTTCAAAAACTACTTTATTAGTGAAAAATCTCGTCATTGTGATTTGTGGAGAGACGTACAACTTTGCTGTAGAAAAATAGCAATGTCAAAGTGGGAAAGGCCATTCCATGTTGAAGCCAGCATTTAACGCTGCTCTTTCTCGATATTGCGTCTTCCCGACATCGCTGCTGAGAGTCGTTGGCACAATAGATCAATTTGCTTCTCCACATTGCTTCCTCACACCACGAGTCTTTTCTTCGTCAACAAATCTCTCGAAGCGCAAGGCAAAATCTAAAACCCTCGTATGAAATCCCTTCTAAATACTAATTCGTTTTTGTGGGTTTTAATGTGTGCGTGTGTGTCTGAGGGAATTTCAGTATTATTATTGCATTCGCCACACTTTCAGTAATCGTTTTCTTCATGATTGACCACAGATGGAGGGGGGGAGTTACAAATTCGGGCCGTACAAAATTGATCCCAATGAAGTTTTCTTATCAACCAAGTTTTCATATGCTTTGGTTAACCTCCGCCCTCTTGTTCCTGGTATTTGATTTTCTATTTCTTTTAACTGCATTTGTGCCTTAAGAAAGCTCCTTTACTCATATTATCTGTTACAGTACAAGTGTACAACGGCTATAACTGCTGTTTAATTTTCAGTCTTCAAATTCTTATTAAAATGTCCCTTCTCTAAATTTTCATTTACTTTTTCCATTTCTACAAAAGCTCGAGTATATGCATGGTAAAACGCTCAAATTATTGTCTTTCTGTGATTAGCCATGCATTTTCTTAAATGCCAGAGTGAAGTTGGTATAATGAGCTGATTGAGCTAAAAGGATCTAATTGTGGGTCGTTTTCTTCTTCTTTTTCTGTGCAGGTCATATCCTTTTTATTGCAAATAATTAGTGGTAGATTGGGATTTATTGGGGATAAGAATGTGCATTTTGCTGAGGCTGGAATGGAGAAACTCCTTTAAGATTGATGGATAAAAAAGTTAGAAAGTGTGCTTGGTTTGCTTTCGGTATATTTTAACAATCATCCATGTGTCCTAAATAGTGTCTTGTTTCAAACAATTTATTGTTCCATTCATAAAGTCAAATTTGGCCAAATGAGTTAATTTTTCATTAACTTGCCAAAAACTTACCAAAAAAGAGACCCACAAATTTCATATGTAAAGTCTAGTTAAGCAAACAGATAAGTTTGAAAAATATATGTACGGTCATGAATACGTTAGTTGCAGCCTGTAGGTTACGAAAGTAAAAATTTATGCATTGGTCTAACAAGCCTTTTTATTTGGGCAAGAAGTTCTTAGAAACTTTATCTAATAACATGGCAATTGAGAGTACAAATATGGATGTCACATTGGTGAGAGCCCCCAGGGTTGTAACCATGCACTTCCCATATGCCAGCTGATAAGTGCTTAGTTAATCTTTGACATTTCACTCATAAACATATACATCTCTCTTTCTGTATTTTAATTATTTATAGTACATAGTAGTGTTAGTGGTGGTTTTTCGGGGGGTGAGTATGTTGGGGTGTTGGTTGGTTGGAAAGGTTTGACTTGCTTTAGCTTAGCTCCTATGCATGAACTTCAAGTTGTTTCACTTGTACGTCGGGTTGGCTTAACATAATGGTACACGTGCTTGTCTGCCCAAGGCGTGAAGTGAAGCGCTTTGCTGATCTCAGTGCTGATGAGACTAGTGATTTGTGGTGTATAGCACAAAAGATTGGGGCCCAGCTTGAGACCTACCACAATGCATCATCACTCACATTCGCAATCCAAGTATGCTTTTTTTTACATTTCATATACTTGGTGTTTTGATGTATTTTGTGCTGATACTGAAGCAGCCATGGAATCTGACAAAGTAGAAACTTGAGACATAATCATAATCACTTTCCTAGTTTCACTGGTTAGGTGTTTTCTATATAACATTAGCCAGTAGCCACAACGTAATGCCCTTATGCTTTACTCATTTTCCGTTTTCTAACATATGAACAAGCTTCTTTGATAGCTCTAGTACTCCGTATTTTATTAACACTTCGCTGTAATAAGTATAATCTAGGATTGATCTGTTCTTCCTCCCTCCAATTTATTATTTATTTATTTATTTATTTATTTATTTATTTATTTATTTATATATTTATTTATTTATTTATTTATTTATTTATATAATTAAGGTCTTATGATTTTTTGGAGGAAATATGGCATTTACTAGTGTTTTATTGGACATTTCACTTTGTACCATATGTTATATTTTCGTTTCCATTGCACCCTAAGTGGAGTGTGAGGTGAAATATTTGGATAAACACGGGGTAAGACCGTAGGTCATTTCATTTTCATTTACCCCAGTGCCGCAAAGGCTCCCACCTACGGTGGGGTAAGAGGGGGTCGGATGTACGCAGTCTTACCCCTGTACTAAAGCACAGAGAGACTGTTTCCGGATGACCCACAGTGAAAATCGCGTCCAAAATTGCATGAACTGACTGCTGCTTCATAACAAAGAAGCGCAAACAGTTTAGTGAGCCATTTTGCTTTATTCCATCATATTTCCAAACCAAAAAATAATGAGTCTTTGGCTCTATTGATCTTAGCATTGTTACTCTCTGTTTACCTTAGTATTTGATTTTGCACCCACTCTTAGTGCAAAGTCAAAGAAAATAAAATATGAGATGCAAAGTCAAACATGGAGTGCAAAAACCAAATTTCTCTGATTCTTGTTCGTTATTCATCCCGGTGATACACAACACTTTCTGTTTAATCGCTCCCGCCAACATCCATTTAAGAACAAAAATAAAAGATATTTGCAGTGAAGAAAATCACATTTAAGCTTAACATAAAGGCAAATTTGCTCATATCTGTTGAAATTAATGATAGTTGCATTTGCATAGTTGGTCTACTGTACGCTTTAGAGTTGGGGGCTGTTCAAGTTGCATTTTCTGTTTACTCCACCCATGTCATGTCTTCAACCCTTTTTATTAGGCAAAGCCCCATCCTTGAAATCACCCCAAAAATGGTTAGTAATGAATATTTTTAGGATATGAACTAAATCCACCATTTGCTGACTTTGTTTTTTTTGTAAATCTTTAGGATGGACCTCAGGCTGGGCAAACTGTTCCTCATGTTCATATTCACATCATCCCCCGCAAAGGTGGTGACTTCGAAAAAAACGATGAAATTTATGATGCTGTAAGGATCAAATTCGTGTAATGTTTTATAAACCTCTCAACTTCATTAGCTGAGAAGCCTTAGACCTTATAATAAATCATCTTTGCGTGTGGTTCAGTTGGATGAAAAGGAGAAGGAACTAAAGCAATCCCTTGACTTGGATAAGGACAGGAAGGACAGAACCTTAGAGGAAATGGCTCAAGAGGCAGCTGAGTACAGAAAGCTCTTTATGTAAAAGTACGAGGATATCCTACTAATGGTTAATTGGTTTTATGTCGGTTCAGGCATGTTGCACTGACGCTTATATTACTTGTATTGATACTAAATTCTCTTATGAGTATTCCCATACGTAATTTGAACTGGGGACTAATTCAGAGGTATTGTGTGTCTTTTTTTACCAACTCGCATTGAACCATGTGTTGATTGCAACTTACTGATACTCCAAGTTGTTATTCTATACAGCAGTTTGTTCCAACTCAAACTGCTACCTATGGTCATTTAAACTGGGAATTTGATCACCGTAGTGCATTTGGGATTGAGACAATTTGTTTGTAAGATCTTTCCAGTGAGAATTAAGAGTGTCTAAAGTGAAAGTTAGGTATGTTTGTCCGTTTGACAAAATATGAACATGCTTATGTGACGAACCAACTTGTTTATCAAGGTAGGGTTTCAGCAGCTAATAACTAAACGGGTTTAACTAAACCAAATTTGTCCTATCTGTATCCATCCAATGCTTTCCCCTAACTACATTTTTTTTTTTTTACATTCTTCTAAACTTATTATAGTATCTGTTCTAGTCTAACTACATTCTTGAAATCATTTATTTCAAGAATTAGATATTTTGGGGTACATATAGCCAAACAGTCCTCGGCTTTGCCTACATATTGCCTTCCCATTTCTTGTTCTTTCCAAGTTTGGGAGTTGGTTTTGAAACGGGATAAGGGTCAGTTTGGTCCTCGAAGTTGCAAAAAAGGGGTCAAATAAGTCCTTATATAGAAAATTTTGTCCGGACGTGCCATTTGAGGTGGCTCCCGGTGGAATTTTTTGATGAAATTTTTTGAGCATCGTATTCATTAAGTCTAGTTTACTCATACCAAATTTCAAATAAAAATTCAATCGGGAAGACATTCAAATGAATTCTTGAAGATAACTGTGCCGTTAAAAGCGCAGTTATCTTCAAGAATTCATTTGAATGTCTCCCCGATTGAATTGTTAGCTGAAATTTGGTATGAGTAAACTAGACTTAATGATTAAGATGCTCAAAAAATTTCATCAAAAAATTCTATCGGGAGCCACCTCAAATGGCACGTCCGGACAGAATCTTCTATATAAGGACTTATTTGACCCCTTTTTTGCAACTTTGAGGACCAACTCAATTATAAACAAATTGGAACTGTATCAACTCAAATCAGTCCGGTAGGGATGGCCTCGGGCCGGTTCGGGCCCGGTTCGGGCCTAGGCCCGGCCGGGCCTCGGGTCTGTTTTGTTGGGCCCGAGCCCGAACCGGTGGCCACCGGTTCCGGGTCCGGTTCCGGGCCGGGCCACCCGGTTAGTTTATTTTTTTTCCTTTTCTTCCCCCCCCCCCACACCCCCCACCCCCCCAAACCCCCCAAACCGGTCCTAAACATCAAGCCCAACTCAATAAAGCCCAAAAAATGAAAGAAAAAAAAAACAGTTTTTGGCCCGGACCCGGGCCCGACCCGGCCGGGCCGGTTCGCCAAAAACTGTAACCGAGCCCGGAACCGACCAAGCCCCCGGGCCTAGGCCCGACCCGGACCCAGAAAACCGGGCCGGGCCGGTCCCGCACAGTAGCGGCCGGGCCGGGCGGCCCGAACCAAGGCCATCCCTACAGTCCGGTAAGGGGTTTTAGCTAGGTGTGCTAATCAAGTGGGTTTCATTCTACGTAGTAGCTTGTATTAGATTTTACTGAATGTTCTTGATAAAGATCAAAGAGTAGAGTTCATTCCACTTAAAAATATATAATTTGAATATGAGCTGATCTAGTTTCATATTTTTAAAAATCATATACTACTTTAAACAGATGATCTTATTTGGTATCAACGTATAAACACACATGACTACTGAGGAATGTCACTAATTCTTTAGACGTAAAAAGCAGCTTTATAATTCTCAACCTAGTTGTCTCTTGGACATTAAAGCTCTCTTTGCCAGCTATGAGCCTATGATTTATACTAACTAGCCGGTCCTAGTCATTGTTTACAGAAGCCTGGGCCTGACCCAATCATATCCAGGTATGGGCCAGTTTTGAGTACACCCCTTTCCAAGGCTAAAAAATTGAGACTCCCAGACCGTTACTGGGATCGGAATAGCCCGGTTCAGTCCCCAAATTGGTCAATCGAGATGTGGTACCCCTCTTGAGCGAAGAGAGTCGGTCCCAAGCCCAACATTGGAAATTTTGGACCCGGTTTGGTCCCAAACAATGCCAAACCAGGTTCCAGATCGGGTCTGTGAGGTCTGTCCCTAATTAGAATGTTATCTTAAACATTAAGAAACACATGAAACACTAATATATTTTTAGTGGGAGATCTGCATAATTTTATGCATACATTTATACTATAATCATCTAATGTAATGCTTAAATTTATGAATTTAAAAAACAAATATTAACTCAAAGTTGAGTAGCTTGGGTTTTCTAGTAGAATTTACATACAAGTGACTTTGTTTTGGATCAAATCGAATTCGTGCACGACTCAAATTTGAATAAAAATCAAGACGCACTAGATCGAACAACAGCATCGGTCTCAAGTTGATTAGCATCCTAGTTCTACGCTTCTGATTTCTGATTATTATACAGACACACAAAATGCGCCATTACATGTTTTCGATAAGACTTCCGATAAACACCGAAACAAGGTTATTGGGATCTTTGTTGTCGACTATATTCCCAAAGGGCAATGGCACCACTAACGTGAACATTGAGTGAACGAACAACTCCCAGCTGTGGTATCTCAATACAAGAGTCCAATATATGGATAATATCCACTGGTATGCCCTCTTTCTCTCGCCCAAGGACAAGCACCTGGAAAATTAGAATAAACTTATTGCAAATCTAATTTTCTCACAAGTATTATTAAGAAGAGATATGATCATCATAACTATGACATATAATCTGTGGAACCACGTATCCAAGAAATACAAGTAATTATCAACTCCCCATTTTGGGTAGGGTAAATTTGGCGGAAATGACTAATGAACTGAATTTGATTATACTGGAAGTGAAAAGAAAGAATATGCTGCTTGGTCCTATATTGATAATTCTCCATCATTCGGGTCCTATATCGATACATTTTATCTTTCAGGTCCCGCATTGATAATTCTTCTATCTTTCAGGTCCTTAATTGATAAAATTCCTAATTTCATTTAGAGTACTCCATATTTAATATTTTTAAAAGATTAAGATAAAAGAAATAATATTTCAAGTGTAGAAAATTCATTTACCTTCATTTTATTATTGAGTTCAATAAAAACACTTCTACAACTTTTCATGTCTATCGGGGATTCAAATAATGCAGTCAAAGAGGTAGATATTAATCAACAAACTGAATGACAAGACTACTAAGTCAAAAAAAAATGCCAAACGGGCTCTATGGTAACGTGTAACTGGCATACCATCTTTTTGGGAAAGGCATACTGGTCAAGAGATATGCTATTTGCAGTCTGCTCCAGACCCAAGATGGAGAAGCCCTCACGCTTCTTCTTTTCAAGAAACGCTTTGATACTACTTACGGGTATTTCTAGAATGGGGACCCACTTCTCTGCGGTTACACTAGAAACAAGAAAGGTTACACTCATTAAAAAGCAGAACTCAACAAGAAAAATCGTGCAGGCAATTCATTCTTTATGATTTCCACTGCTGCACAATGCAGAAATAATAGCAAGCTATTATAAGAAAGTCAAGTTGTATGGTTTTGGTTGATCTAAAAAGGAGGGAAACAATACCAACCACAGTACCACACACACCTTCCCATAAAACGAAAAAAATGGGAATAAAAAATGGAACATCCCAAAAGGAAATGGGGATGAAAATTATAGGACAGGGGTGGTATTACTTGATGGTAATTAAATTTCTTTTTGGCATCAATTTGATCCTCGACTATACAATTCTGTTCCAGTTAGGATGTTTTTACTTGGACTATAATTTGTCCCAGACCAGACCAGAGTCACCAGACCAGCAAATTACAGTTTAAGTAAAAACATCCTTAGTCCTCATGCATATACTGATCTTCTTAAGAACAACACTTTCGTACACTAAGGACTGAATTGGGTCCAACTAGTTGACTGCAAAAACTAGCACAAAACTAGGTCTAAATTTTCGTGAGTGGACACAAGTCACACAACTACTCATCTTATTAAGAACCAAAATTGTGTAAAGACTAGATTGTATTCAAACTTAATATTCAAGAACTCGAACTCGAGAACCAACATAAGTAGAATAAAAAGCTGAGTCCCAAATGGAGTACTAGACTACTAGTTCAAAGGAATAAATCGAGTATTCACTATGGAAAAGTAAACACACGTCAATTGTGCAAAAAGAAATCAGTGATAGTGGAACTGGGTTTTTATAGATCCAAACAAAGACCCAAACTGAGTGGAAATACTTGGAAACCTGGGTAAAACATGACCACAATACAGTGTTCCTAGAAGAAGAGGACTTAGAGCAAATAATCTACAACATTCTTGATTTTCATTGATCTGTGCTGTGGAGGCCACAGACATTATTTTAAACTCTCAACAGGAAAAAACTAACGGGCAGATTTACAAAACCTGATGAGCTGGAACTGCTTGTCTTTTAGAACCTCTTTGTTTGCAATTGCTATTCCGCCTACTCTAAATACCTGCAAAGAAATCATTAGAGGAAAAAATGGATTATACAAGGGGAGTCGAACAAATTTCATGGCTTGAGCTAACAAACCCTTGCATGGCCCACAAACAGGCAAACAATAAAATATGATACACACCTCACATGTCCGTGTCAAACCTGCGAGATTAGGTATTCGATCAATAAGTGATGCTACAACAATAATATCTTGTCGACTTTTTTTTAGCTTCTCAAAAGCTGCAGTTCTTAGATGTAGAGCTTGATCGAGAAGCAGGCCTTCCTTTTCCATGTCTGTATAACACAATAGAAGGGAATAATATTTAAAAAATACAATGTGTTTTGAGATTTTAATACTAGGAGTAAGACAAATCTCTAAAAATATGTAGGTTCATCAGCTCATTAAACCTTTAACATGGAAACAAAAATGACTGGAAGCAATCATGTAAGCAATTTCCATCAATGTAAACTCCCTGCTCCACTTTGCATGTGCTCACGAAGATGTTAAAGCACGTGACAATGAGATTGGGAAATATATTTTTTTAGATTGGTAAATATTTAATCATCATGATTTTCTCGATTTTTTTGCATGACTTGCAGATTAGTGTGTAATATATCAAATGTACAAGTGGCGCAAATCTCTTTGTAGCTGAAACGCCAATAAAAATATAGGAAAAAATGAACTTTCTTAATGCGTTTTACATTCCTCCTAAATTTGAACATATTTAATGTGTTCAGATCCTCAGCTCCAATCATTATTTATTTCTTGGTTACTGTTTTTTTCTTTTTTTTTTCTTTTTTTTTTTCGTTTTTTGGCAGGGGAACATTTTACCTGTTTTTCTTGGTTATTGATGTTGTGCTGGAAAATCGAATTAAGCTTTAGTTTTTTCCAGCGGTGGGATGATAGAAACATATACTACCCCCTAATGCAGAATGTAAGCTTTTTAACTGGGGGTAGTACAGAGTATTTGTTTCTACCTGTTTACATAGCTTTCATTTTAAACAAATGATTGGCTCACGGGTCAGCTTGGACCCGGCGGGTCAACACTAGGAAAACACGATCAACTTTTATATAAAAAAATTATAGTAAGAACATATATGAATATATATATATATATGTATAATAAAAAAATTATATTTCAATATAATAAAATAATAATAATACTTGGTATGAAATTTTCTTATACGTTCAAAAATGCTATTTGATACATAGTATTTATTTTAATTTTAAAAAAATTGAATATAGTGTTGAATAAGAATAAAGTTTTCATATTTGAATACTTAATAAGCATTTTTGAATATTTAATACAAAGTATTCAAATATATTCACATTCATCATATTCTAAAATATAGCTTTAGGATTATTTGAATACAACAACAACAACAACAACAATATTACACAGTGCCGCAAAGGCTCCCAAGTCCCACCTACAATGAGGTAAGGGGGATCAGATGTACGCAGCCTTACCCCAGTACTAAAGCACAGAAAGACTATTTCCGAATAACCCGTGATGACGAAAATTACATGGACTGACCGTTGCATCATAGCAAAGAAGCGCAGGCAGTTTAGTGAGTCATTTTGTTTTACTCCATGATATTTCAAGCCAAAAAATAGTGAATCTTTGGCTCCGTTGGAAATGAAGGACATTTTAGGATTATTCGAATCAATGATATTATTTGATATTTATTTTGTACCTCTATAAAATATATACATAGGACTTTCTCTCTAGAGAGAATATTTAAATATATCACATACTCTTCTCAAAAATAAATATCAACACCTAAACTCATTATAAAATCTCAAAGTATTGTATCAGCATTTTTAACTTATATTTCAATGTTTTATTCATAATCAGATACTATAATAATAGAAATAATATGTATTATAATGTTTAGCCTAAAATTTGTTTTTTAGTCCATCTCTAACTCCGAAACCACTTTAATTCAGAAACAAATTCTCAGTGGCATAAATCTAATAGAAAATGTTAAATTTATCCTCTATATTTTTTTAGGTTAAACCAAGTAAAGCTAAGTATTCACACTTTCAAATAATGTATTTTTTATCATATTTTTAAATAATGTATTAAAAACCTTCTAAAAATAAAATTAATTTTTTTTAATAACATGTCAAAGAATTAGAGAAAACCTATTAGCCGGGATTGTTTCATTGTCAAACGGAGGTTGTTATCATCAGTGATGGACTAAAAAGAAAGCCAACATAAATTTCAGGGATGAAAATAATAATTTTGTAGGGGTGTAAAACGAAATGCACTATATTTGCAGGACCAAAAACAATTTTAAACCTAATGTTTATTATGTAATACTTAGTTAATACTGTATAACATTTCAACTTATTAAGAAATGTATATTAATTTGCAAGAAGCTTTCACTAACAAGAAGCCTTAGTAGCAAGTTGGTGGGCTGGTCATTGTCCTCTCGGTACACCCAGGTTCGAACCCCAGCAGAGACAATTTTTAAATAACTTCAATTTGCCTGGATTCTTCTGGGTCTCCAGGGTATAGGCTATTCTGGTTTGGGCCCGGACCATCGGGGTTTTCCGAGTTCTAGTGCATTTACGGGTCACTATGTAACTGGACCAGGTTAGGCATCGGTTCGTCGGTTTCAGAGCCGACCTGCCTGATCCGGTCCGGTTTCCTTAACATAGAATGGAAGACAATAATTTCAACACTAAGTATGAAAGTTTAGACTCAAAATTCACACATACCAAGAAGTGACTGGTATGATACTTTGTCATCCATGGAGAAAGTTGAAGACAAATATTGAATCTCATGCTTGGAAAACGTAACTTTTCTCTGAAAATCAAAAGATATATCCTTCGAGAAAGAGGTTGCCTGGTTGACAGATAGAATGTCCAATATGTCATTACACCTATCATCATCATCAATGCTTAAGCTTTCTTCCTTGATAGTTGCAGCATCCTTAGCCATTGAGGACCTAAGGTCATCCCTAGCATCCTATAATCATCACGGTGAATTACAAAGCATATGGAAACGCGATAAAATGTGAATAACTTGGCACTTACATTTAGGAAACTGGTTACACGATCCATAAGGGTTACTGGTACACATTCAAATTCAAGATCCTTCAAAAAATAGGGAGGGTTAGCATCTTAATAGTAAGCAAAAAAACTTGAGTAAAGACTGCACCATACATCTTTAAAATATGAATTGAATGAAGAACAAATGACACTACGAAGTAGAGTTTGTTGGAAATCCGACATGCAAAAATACAAGAAACTAAGCACTTTGATGGAATCATGGAAAGAAGTTGTTCAGCAACATAAACAATGAGAAGGAATAAGAAAAGATACCATGCAAAAACACCCATCCTTTTTTGCACTGCCTTTCTCTTTAAAGTGATTTCCTATACTTCACTCTCATTTCCTAGCTGTTTTAATAGTTTTTCCTAGTTTATACCAAAATGGCACTCTTGAAATGATTTGACACAAGTGGCCTACATTCTACTAGTTTCATCATATCAAAGCTAAAAGCAAAGTGGCCTTATATGTTGGGACAGATGGACAACAAGAACAACAACAACAACATTACCCCAGTGCCACAAAGGCTCCCACCTATGGTGGTGAGGGGGGCGGATGTACGCAGTCTTCCCCTATACTAAAGCATAGAGAGACTATTTCCGGATGACCCATAAATCCATAATGTAAATCGCGCCAAAAATTGCATGGACTGACTGCTGCTTCATAACAAAGAAATGCAGAGTTTAGTGAGCCATTTTGCTTTATTCCATCATATTCCCACGCCAAAAAATAGTGTCTCTTTGGCTCCATTGGAAATGATGGAAAATGTTGGGACGGATGGAGAATGACTAAACTCTGTTCCCGATCGACGCTCTAGTACTAACTACTAAAATAGAACTAATAGAAGTAATTGAGTAAATTCCACTTTTCCCACAGTTGAAGTGTTTTTCACCTTTTACTCCTTGGCTTCAATTTCTTCCATTATTACTGCTTGAAATCAAGAAATGTTCCACATTTCTAGATTTACCCCAAAACATCAAAATCTATATATATTAGGATGATGTTTTTTTAAATGTTCAAAGTGAGATTGTTTTGGGAAAATAGTAAACTCAATGGTAAAAAAAAAGTCGGATTGGGTGTTATGCAACATATTCTTTCCTAATAAGCATATGTGTGATGACTTCTAAGTCATCTATGATACGACTTATATAGCATTTCCTATTTTCTACTTGAGTGTATAAAACATGATTTCCGACCAAAGACTCTAATTTTGTCAATATGATGAGGATTATTCGGAATCTTGAGAAAGCGATACATGTTCCCAGCATTTTGACATTTTTGCAGCCAAAGTTAAAGGCACATGTTTTAGGTCTTATCCTATTTTAATATTACCTCAATGAAATACAGATTTCAGTATTACAAACATGATTATTATTTTGGACGGAAGTAGTGTTTTGCAGACCTCAACTCGAGTGCTGAAAATTCCTGCTGGCATAACAGACTTCTGTGGATCAAAATCATCAAGATATCCTTCCATTGAAGCTCTTAAACTATGACAGCAAAAGTAAAATATCACCAGCTAAGGAGATCAAGACCAGTGGCCACGATATTATCTATATGTTTGCTATATATAACCGTATCTGGTGCACAAACCGGTTTTCAATACCCTAAAATGTGTCAAATTTTGAGTTGAAAACGGGAGATGCAGTACACATCTCTGAAGTTCAAAGATGCATGATCTAATTTTCTAGGAATTAGAATAAAAAAATAAAAAATAAATAACATTTGTGGATACCAGAATGAGGTTAGTCCAGAGCACGAAGGCATCCCCACAAGGCAAGGGTCCCACCACAAGGGTGTATAAGGGGCAAGCCTTTCCCTGTCAAATTTTGTATAAAGGGAAAGCCTTTCCCTGCCACGTTTTGACAAGAGGCCGCTCCTATGACTTGCGGATACCAGAATATTGCAAAAAAAAAAAGAATCTTTTGGGTGTCACAAGCCTAACTGCACATTTAGGCCAGAAAAATGTTGCCTGAAAGTGATTCACAAGCCAACGCACACATGTCACGGCAGTGGGAAACAACTGCTCTTGTGAGTGTGTGACAATGGCAGCCAGGATATTGTGTAATGATATAGTGACTGCTGGTTCACTTATAAGACAATGCAGATGACATTGGTATACACTCTCTTGCAGTCTTTTTTCAGACATCTTCCAGCCACAAGAGTGTTGGTGCTGATGCCGTGATACCATGTAAAACTTTATGAAAAACAAGACATATTACTCAACATAGTAACACCCAATTGTTTAGAGTACATCAGTATATATTGGAATGCAAGATATACAAATGATTAAAAAACTGCAATAGGGAGCCTATAGACTCTGCTTAAGGGAGACGAGTGGTTAAGAATGCCAAAGCGAAACAATAAAATGAAAAAGAGAGCTTGCTCTTCATCAAGATTGAACTTTACCGTGCACAATCAGGATTGTTCATCAGATAAGATTTAAGCTCCTCAAAACATCTTCTCTCTATAGGCAGGTCTGTGGAACAACTAGTATTTGTTGGGAACAATGTTTGCAGAACCTTGTATACTAATAACTGGAAAAGTAAATAAATAAATAAATAAATAAATAAATGTGTGTTAACATTTTGTAGTACTGTGCATAAGCAGTACACATGATCCTTCAAAGGGACTGACCTGGGTGAAGCCACGCAGTGTGTGATGATGTGATGTCAACAATGGAATTATAGGAGGAAGTAATTCGCTAAGCCTTTCAGATTGTGCAGCTCCCGTTGAATGCAGGATTATATTAGCAGCTATAAACACATAAGAAGATAAAGCCTGCAAGAGTACATAATATAAATATCGCAGCTAGTGCAACTGACCCTCATCCATGCATCTTACATAGATGATGCTCTAAGGCCATGCTCAATTGCTCATAAGTAATAACTCATGTCCAGCCAGATATATGAAGCAATGACTGATTTATGAAGAGATAACCGAAGTAGATAGATCAGATGAACGAGCAGGGTTAAATCATTTGAGAATTGAGGTGCAAAACTATCTGAATTAAATGCTTCGGAAAAAATATTATTAGGAAGTCAAACATGAAGCAAAGAGAGAACAGAGCTTATTGTTCGGTACCTACGTACACATGCATGAGAATTCCTACATGTGCAAGCATGTATTTATTCTTCTAGGAGTCTTTTTATATATTATCATTTGTTTATTATTTATTTGATTGTACGGCTTTATCTCTTTATTTTAGCCGGACATGTAGCACATGTATAGGGGTAGAAGTCTATCCATTTACATAGACTAGCTTTTAATTGTATATATGTATACGGATGTATTCAATTCACAATCAATCGAATAAAGAGTTTTATTCGCACTAGAGTTTTCATGGTATCAGAGCTAAATCGATCCAGAACAATGGTGTGGGCCCCCTATAAAAAATGACGACACAATTATAAAAAATGACAATGATGAACCGATGAGAAAAATGAATGACGGCACGATCTAGACACGACGAAGTGTCTGGTTGTGAGGAGGGGTGATAAAGTCCTACACCGGATATCTCTGAAAGAATTAAACATCATATTAAGATCTGAGGTACTCCTCCTATCAGGTTAACCTTTTAGGATAGAACCCCGGGTCTTAACACTTATTGAATAACATCTCTGATTAAGGATAGAAAATAGCATTACCTTTTTTTTAAATAAACTTAGGAGGGATCGCAAAATGGAACAGCTGAAAGTTTGAAGAAAACGACCATGACATAATGAGAAAGTGAAGTTGCCGCTACATTATAATGCATTAATATAAAAAACGGGAGCCTTGAAGCACCAGTTATGGTGTTCCCGTGTGATCAAGGCCACAGATTCAAGTTTTGGGAGAGACCTCTTATCAAAATGACAAGGAAAGGGGCTTGCCCCTTATACACCCTTGTGGTAGCCTGGTAGGTCCCTTCGGGGGACGCTCGCCTTACGGGGACGCCAATGTGCACCCGGCTGCACGATGGACGATAGAATGTGTTGGAAATAGAATTTAAGCATGTGCCTTTTTATATTCCAACATGTGCTTACTTCACTTTCCTTTATGACTTTTAATTTTCTTTTGTCCTTTTGACACAGAGAGATGAGGTCTTTTTGCTGACAGCTGGAGGTCAAGATAACGAGGTTGACGCGGAGGGATGGGGCCGTTTTGTCAACGATTCAATCTTTTATTCGACCTTTCAGTCTTTTTTGCCGAAGATTTGAAGACTTTAGAATTTTCCGACAACTAGTTGGCTAGTCGCTATTGAATCGTGATTCACCTGCGATTCCATGAGTTTAAGGTTCTGCACGGGCGATCCCATCGATTCAAGTATTTTACTATCTCTAGTAAAACCGGTATCACTGGGAGCAGTAGAGATCGTATGTTGTGAACCATATCAAAATCAAATGAAAGAAAAGGCATTTGCTATGGTACTCCACTCGAGCTGTTAATGAAGGAAGAAAACTAAGGATTGTAATTGAAAATCAAGGAGAAGAAGAAAAAAGAATTGTTGCTGACTACCCCAGCCCCTTATTTTGTATCCCAATTCGGTTTCTCACGGGTAGGAATAGTACATGGTGCAGATAAACATAATGGACTGACAAGGGAAAAATGGAAAATAAAAAAGTCATCCCTCAATTCTTAATTCCCACGCCCAGCTCTATGTTGCAATTATATCCGAATGGAGGATAGTATGCTCCAGTTTGAGGGGGAGTGCTGGAAATAGCATTTAAGCATGTGCCTTTTTTATTCCAGCATGTGCTTACTTCATTTTCCTTTATGAATTTTAGTTTTCTTTTGTCCTTTAATGTACCATTTACTTACCTATATATATATATATATATATATATATATATATATATATATATATGGGAGTTATGATGTATGATCATCAGATAATAAAAACAAAAGGTTCTCTACCTAAATTAACAGAATGCATTTTAATATACATCTCACCTGGGGCCGCATTTCAGAATCTCGAAGAAGCGGAACTAATTCTTCCCTGACCTATTAAATGAACATGAGAGCTCACTAAGTCTCACGCAGTGTAAAAATACCAATATTAACAGGAAATGATATATTCCATACACCACAAAGAAGAATATCTTGTCTAGATTAAGTGTTGTAGCCAGGAAAACAAGAAAAATCATGTGATCAGATAAATTCATACCAGCAATCGAAACTTCAAGTATATATGAATTGCAAAGGTTTCCAGGTACTGCCGAACAGATGGCAAATTGTTTTTCTACGTAGAGAAAGAGGACAATAAATCACCATGATCAGTAGCACAAAAACTAACAGGCATGAATGAATAGGAACCATATTCAGAAATATCATTTTTAATATGCATATGTAGGTTCTCAAAGTGCCGGAGTTAAGTATTGTGGCAATTCAATTGCATCATACATTCATACTCCGTCTCTTCACTTTTACTTGCTCCATTTTCCCTTTATGGGAGTTCATTACTACTTGTGCCAATGTTCATTTTGACAAATTTTTGCTACATCTCTAAAAGACATAAGTACCCTTACTTTTTTATCCTCTCCAACTTTCCGCGTATTTTCACCTTCTCTCCTACTTTTTCTACACTATTCACTATCCCTTCAATTTTACTCTTTGATCCCATAGAAACCCTCCAGGAGCAACTATAAGTAAACGGATGGAGCCTTTTTATTATATACTTGCTAAGGTGAGGTGACAAGTCATTAAGAGAACCTTTACCAAGGCTCTATAAATTTAAAATAAATCACAAATTTCAGCTATTGTCTGCTAAAACTACTGAAAAATCTGAAGTTATGGATGAATCTGTAAGATTATGAAAAAATCATATTCAAAATTATATGAAAAAACTAAAATGTCCTTATCAGCTAGTTCAGCAGAAACTGAGAAAAATAACTACACCCTTACTTATTTTGATCATTAAACAACTCAGCGCGCAAGCTCAAAAAAATAATGTTGGGTATAAAAATGACTTATAAGGCTCATAAGCCCAAAAAAGTTACTAAATGGGATCTTATTCGAGTAACACATGTTTTCCCCTTTTTTCACTTTGTTTCTGTTGTGTTGACAAGAATCACTGAATATAGATTGCGAAAATAATCTAGCATTGGAAATGAATGAAAAATAATCTTACAGAGAGACATGTATGAAGACTATGAGTAACTACATGCACCATATCTTGCTCAACAAACCGTGATAAAATGCAAATCATCTGCCATGCGCGAACTTTGCGCCTATGGATCTGACAAGAAAAACAAGTGATATGGTATGTCGGTAAGCCATAACGGTTTTTCAAGATGTAGCCATACAAAAAAGAGGCACTGAGCGATTAAAAATGAAATTACTAGTAAATCATCTGAACAGCATGATAGCATCAAATGTAATATGCACACATGAACAAAAAATAATTAATAAACAGATCTCCTCTCTCTTCATTAATGGTCAGATTACATAAAGGTATGAAGCACATAATACAGAGTAGTTTTAGTTCGTCTTGAACTCAAAATTGATTATGGTGTTGGAATTGATTGTGCTGTGCAGCAATGGTTTTTAATATCTTTTTTCTATATCTATCATAATAAGATTGCTTCCATGTTTAGTCCTCTACTAAAATTATTTTTCTGATTCTAAATTTCGACCTTGAAATCAACCGCTTTTGGTCTTTTAAGTTTTAACTACAGTGGTTGTGCCACATTTGGTTGCCCAGCCTATTTTCCAGCTAACCATTATAGTAAAAAAAACAACGGTCACTTTTAAGATGAGGAGTGACGACTAGAGATGACAAAGCCACTACATCATACAGTCATAGGATAAAAAGTGGAACTCGCCCATCATATATATTTGCATTAGTTCGCAACAAAAGAAAAGCAGTTTGTTCCAAACGTGAGTGCTAATTAGGTAGATGAATGTTTTGATAGATATATCCATCTTTAACATATTAAGTAATTACTTCAAGACTTCAGATGTGGTAATTTTTCCATCATTTGCAATGGAGCCAAAGACTCACAATTTTTTGGCTTGGGAATATGATGGAATAAAGCAAAATGGCTCACTAAACTGTCTACGCTTCTTTGTTGTGAAGCAGCAGTTAGTCCATGCAATTTTCGACGTGATTTTCACTATGGGTCATCCGGAAACAGTCTCTTTTTGCTTTAGTACAGGGGTAAGACTGTGTACAGCCGACCCCCCTTACCCCACCATAGGTGGGAGCCTTTGCGGCACTGAGGTGATGATGATGATGATGATGATGACTTCAGATGTGGTAATCAATCCAAGAAAAATATCATTCATTGATTTCAATTCCATATAGTATGACGATGATAAAAATAAAGTAACTTACAGCACTGTGTTTCTTATATAACTCCTTAGATAAATCCTTGTCAGTAAGCTGTATTAGCATATAATCGTTAGAAGACCTCATTGTACAAAATGAAAATAACAGATATTAGCTAAAAACATAGTTAGAATTTAGATTGTAGAGGTAACAAACATAAACCCCCAAAAAAGAAAAAAAAATTAATGTTTAACTAAATATGCCAAGCTAAGAAACACAAAATAGGATGTCAATATGTCATGATGTGAAAGGGTGGGAGTTTGAGCATGTGTCCATGCATAATATAAAACAATCTGATGTGTGTAGACAATTATGAGCCCCCAAAACATGGCAAATCAAAGCATGAAATTGAATCTATTATATACGAATAAGGAAATTTAAACAAAGATCGCTTTTATTGCATGTTGATATTTCTGGAGACAATGAAATGACTTAAGAGCAGATTTTGAAGAATCAATACCGTAGAATTAAGGAGTTCCAGCAAGAATAATTTTCCAGATGCAAGGGCAGCACTTCTATCTTTGTTTTCTCTGGTTAATTCCTCCATACATACAAGATCTGCCAATCTATAGAATAACACAGCAACAGATACGCGTGCATACAACTCTGTGTTGATAAATTCCTGATATAAAGCCAAGATAAGATATGCTAGACATAGGCTTATGTAAAGGAAATCTGCAGAATTCTATCGAGTGTGGACCAACAGTGAGTATTTTATAGATTAAGTACTACTCTTTCTGTCCAAATATAATTGTAGTACTCTGTAATATTTGTAGCCCTATAACCAAAAAACCTTTTGAGTTGAAATTGAACTAAAAAAGAACACATTTAACATGGAACAATATCATATTATACCAACCTAATTAACTTTTGAGGCTATATTAAAAGGGCACCTAAATCTGGGTATTTTCCTACAGCACAGTTACCCGGAGTAAAATAAAACAACATCCAAGCCTTAGTCCCAATAGATTTTGGGTCGGCTAACATGAATGAATACATGACGGAGCCAAAAGAAAAAGAAAATACAAAGATAAGGTATCATAAAAAGATAACAAAAAAGATAAGATAAAATAGAGATAAGATATACATAAAAATGATAAGATAAAAAGGATAAAAGGGGTATATATATACTAGTATGTAATAGGGAGAATTTGACATTACACCCCACTTTTTGGGTGATATTGGACTTTGCACCCCATTTTCAAAAAACTTTGACTTTGCACCCCATCATATAACATTTTGTGAATGAAAATTTCTAAATGGGGTGCAAAGTCTAAGGATTTTGAAGTGGAATGGGGTGCAAACGGCAAAGTCAAAGTTTTTTTTAAATGGGGTGCAAATTTCAATATTATCCAAAAGGTGGGGTGCAAAGTCAAATTCCCCCTATATAATACAGGATAAAAAAACATAAGAAAGTTAGGGCCTGTTCACTAATAAAGATATTTTCCAGTTTTCTATTTCTGTTTTCCGTTCTCCAATTTTCTGTTTTTATTTTCTAGTTTTTCTATCTCCAATTCTTTATTTTCATTTTTTAGATTTTCATTTTCAAATTTGTAAACAATAAACATGTTCATACAATTTTTTCACCCGGTTCTGTGACCGACCAAAAGACCGAAAGTACGGTCCCAGTCTGGAACCGAACGTAGTTAACCGAAGTAGGGTACTGGGTCCCATGTATAGGAAAGTCAGGATCAAAACCAACCGGTCCTGGTTGATCTCAACAACTAGTTTGATGAATTCTTTTCCTATTTTCCTATTATTTGACAACTCAACGGCTCTTAAAACTCTTCACTTTAAAAAATGATTTCGAAAAACCAAGACTGAACCGCCGGGTCATTGACCAGCCCGGACAGGGACCGCCGGGTCATTGACAAGCCCAGACAGGGACCGCCGGGTCATTTATAGGACTGGCTCGAGGCAGCCTGATTGTCGATCGGATCAAACACAGACCGTCGGGTCATTTGCCAGACAGGATGGTGACCGCCAGGTCGTTGACCGGACTAAACGGGGATCGCTGGGTCATTGACCGAACCGGACGGGGACCGCCGAGTCGTTGACTAGACCAGATCGGACCCGGACTGCCCGACCATCGATCGTACCAAACAAGTACCGCCTGGTCATGGATCGCACCGGAAAGTGACTGCCGGGTCATCGACCGTAACGGAAAGAACCGCCAGGTCATGGACCAGACCGGATAGGGGTCACCGGGTCGTGGACCGAACCGGACAGGGACCGCTGAGTCGTTGACCGAATTGGACAAGGACTGTCGGGTCATCGACCGGACCAGACATGGACCACCGGGTCAATGATCGGACCCGACCGCCGGGTCGTTGACCGGACCAGATAGAGACTGTCGTGTGGTTGACCGGACCGGACTAGAACTAAAACCGGAGTGAGACTGGATCCAACACTAGGTGTAAGCATGAAAACTCATTGCAGCGTCATTGTAGCATCCGCGTTTTCCAAATTTGGAAAACTAGCAAAAGTCACTTCTCCAATTCATTAAGGAAAACAGAGACATCTCATATTTTTTGTTTTGGAAAATGATTTGGTAAATGCAATTTTCTTTTTTCCTTTCTCTAGTTTTACAGCAATTGTTTTGGTAAACATGTTTCTGTTTTCCTTTTTCCAGTTTTCCTGTTTTTTGTAAAACTGAAAAATATCTCCGTTAGTAAAACAGGCCCTAAGTTTTAAAAGGCGTGAGGCGCCATAGGGCGTTTTTGTTAAAGTTTGCTAAGGGGTGAGGTGCAAGGCGAAGGCAGCTCCTCATGGAACTTAAACATACAGATTTGCTAAAATTAATTATATAACTTGTACATGATACCTTCTACCCAAAAATAATGAAAATTTCATAAAAATACCACAAGCCATTAAACAAGCATATTGAAGGCCAAAATCAGTCACAAGAGAAACAAAATAAACATTCAGTAGTTACTGAATTAATGTGTTCCGGACTTTAAAGTATAGTGATTTAACTAAAGTTTATCAAGTAAAGTTTATAATTTACTAATTCAATGTGTCCTATACTTTAAATATTAAAACATACTCCGTATCAGTTAGTTACATACTTAATCACATGTTTAAAACATTAAAGCTTCTAACTTTAAGGCTATGAGAGTGGTTACAAATTAAGGCCTGCCGGTTACAATAAAAAAATTATATTAAGGCTTCTGGTTTTAAGAATATCATAAAGATTACAAATTAGCTTTAGGACTTCTAGTATTTGAAGGCTTGTAGTTATGAATTGGAATTTTAATGTTAACTTTAGTTTGCTGGGAATACGAAACTAGGTCAGTAACATATTGATAGCTCCCAGGTTACACCGAAGTGCTTAGAGAGAATGGAGAGCTACTAGAGAGAGAAAGAACTTGCAATAAATGGTTTGAGAACCCCTTACAACTACTCCCAAGGGGGTATTAATAGGGGAAAGTCGGGCTGGACTCCCAGATCTTGGGCCTGGGATGCCCAATTACAATAACGGGCCACAAATGGGCTGTTTTACAAGCAATATGGCCCAACACGGGTCCTGTGAAAGTATCTGGCAGCATGGTTCCCCTTCAAACTCTCGGACCCGCTGGGGAAGGAATTTAGCCTGCTGGCGCACGGGGAGTATCCCTCCGAGGTGAACACTCCGAGGGGTGGTTCTCTAGACTTCTGCTTCCCAGGTGGGCTTTATATCCCTGGTGCTAGTTTGGGCCGTTCGCTAATCTGGGAGTGTATGGGCAGTGGTCCCAAGCCCGTATACTCCATCACATATATAGTCATGCACACGACTAGGCAAATAATTGACTTCCAAAGAATACAGGAGACAAGAGCCCAAACTGCTCTATCTGTGATTGGAGCAAAAGCGCAGGAATTGAGCGGAACAGAGCATAGGGAAAATACTAATACACTGAGAGAAGTGGGAAAATATGAATCGATTAAGAGAAGAAAGAAGGTAAAAAAACTTGCGTAAAACAGTGCAACATGCGAAGTGAAAGGGAAGAGTGTGTTTTGTGATAAATAAGATGAGATGGAGTGGTTTTGGACTTCGGATGTACGTGGCGTCTTATTAGATACTTCCCAAATAAATCGCCGAATAAATTGCATATAAATAAAGCAGGGAAGAGTTTGATTTGTGATATACAAAAAAGAGATAGAGTGGTCTTGGACTCCGGGAGTACCGCACAGCAGAAAAAATCTAGGAAACTTACAGCATATAAACCATCAAATTTACAAGAATCACTGGAGCGGCTAAAGCGTTTGCCTCCTGTGGCGCAAAAGCGCTCAAAGAAGTGATGAAAGTGCACGCCTTATAAAATATTGGAATCTGCTGCGCCTAAGCGCCTTGAGCCTTGAGCCTTGCGCCTAGTGCATTTTTTTTTAACTAAGATGAGAAAGATAAAGAAGATGAACGAAAAAAATGACAAGAGATCAATCCGCCACGCGAAGACCCGCCATCCCCTTTGCTCTCTCCAAGAAAAAGCAGACTCCTCTAGTCTATACAAATATTTAAATGCTATAATAAAGCACGAACCATATGAAGAGAAGAAATAATCCTAGGCATTTGAGCTTATGGAAATATAATGCATTGATGTACTGAAACACACAAGAAAGAATATTTCTTTGACTACATTTTATTCATCGATGTAATACTCCCTCTGTCCTGAATTGTAGGACACTTTATGGTTTACGATGTTTGACCAACGATAAAGCAAACGGATCCATGTCCGCACTCAAATTATTTTTAGAAAAAAATAATTACATATTCAGAAACTACATTAAAATCGCAAAAACCAGAATCAATTTTGATAAAAAAAAAATTGATATATGTAGTAAGAGATTAAGAGTAATTTGTGTTGAGCCTGTTAACCAAGTGAATAGGAAACAAATCTTACAAAATGAGACTGAGAGAGTACACAGTAATAAATTATATTATAAAAATATCATAATTTCTCTCAAAGTAAAATTCAAATCTATAATTTTTATATTTTTTACTAACAGTCAATTAAATATATTGATGGTCAAATTCATGCCTTGCAAACGTGAATTTATAGGGAGTTGGAACTAAACAAGAATTCAAGAACAAAGATGTTATTACTTTAGGTCATCAATTTAACAACAGTTGCAATTTGGTACTTTAATAACTATGATAAATATAAAATATTGCACTACTATTAAATAATAATTTTACATGATTTCAAACTAGAACAGAATAGACCTATAAACAGATCCGGCCATATAAAAAAATTGAAGTCTCACTTTTCGAAAAAGTTCCTCAGATAAGGAGGAAAAGATAAGAAGGAAAAAGGTAAAAGAGAAATGAAATCAACGTGAAGAATAAAACAATCTGCGAGCCCACCATTAATTTAGTGACTCCATCAGAAATATATTTCTTTTAATAATAAAATCGCCATTAATGTAGTGGGAAAAAAATAAACTCATCTGAAAGATTTTTTAGAAACAGTTTCACATTGAATTTAGGCAACTCCATCAGAAAAAATCTATATTTTAATAGAACGATAATGGAGTTTGAATAATTAGAAAATAAATAAAACCTATTCGGAAGAAGGAAAACTGAAGACTGCGCCATTAACTAAGCTGGCTCTATTAGAAAAATAGCCACTTGTAATATGGAGGAAAAGGAAAGAAAGTAAAGAAGAAAAAAGAAAGGAAAAAAACAGGAAAACAAGAAAATAAATAAAATAACAGTGAATGCACCATAGTCCAAAGAGGAATGCATAAAAAGACAAAAGAGGAGGAGGAATGATGAGGAAATTAATCCGAAGAGGAATACATAAAAAGAAGAGAGAAAACCACTAAGGAAGAAAGAACCAAAGAGGTTAGTTGAACAAACGAAATGAAATGAAATGAAATAGATGTAGTTGGGGGGGGAGTTTGAATGGTTTGATACTTTGATACTATTTTAGTTAGTATAGCTAGCTTAATAGTTTTGATACATTGTATTATGTTACTTTTGGGTGTTTAATAAATTTACCTTTCATCCAAAAGAATAGATGTAGTTTATCCTCTTCACAAGGTAAGAAGAAGAAAAAGATGAACTTATACTTTCGAAAAAGAAAGAGAAAAAAGGAGGAAAAAATGGGGGTGCAAGGATTTGCTGCAAAGGGAGAGAAGGCAAAAGAAAAGGGATAAAAAGATAAAACTTGGAACAGCATGTCATTAGCCAGTCAGATTATTTTCAGATTACTGTCGAGTAGAACTATTCTGAGAAGTGAGAACACCACTGAAAGATGAGATTTTTAGTTTCAATTTTCCTTTAAACATTTCCTTCTTTGAATTGTACTTTTATAAAGTATTGTAAAAATTATGTGGCACTGCAACATAAATAGATTTTGGTATGGTCATGCCACATCAGTGTACCGAGTGCCAAAGCTTCCACACCGGCATTGTGGATTGGAGTGGGGATAATCTGGTTACATTTCTGTAAGGAGATGGATTCAAACACTAGACATCAACATACACAAGCGGAAAGACCCCACTAGTTGCATGATATACGCCATGCTACTCTTATTGGCCAATTAATCTCACTGCAATATATACATGAAGTCATGGACCTTCAACTTATCTATAGTTAGCCTTTGGTTATATTATATACTTATGTTATTGGTCCAAAAAAGTGTTTATCTTTCATGAGTACAGCGGCCGCCAGCCAAGGGTTAATGGAATGATGGAAATTTGAACCAAAGGAAAAATGTATGCATAAACATGTTTTCTGATCATATCTAAAAAACTCTGCAGCCTTTGTTATGAGGGATGGAAATTCAGAAGTCCAGAATCGAGAAAAAAAAAACCTACTTCAGACAGCTCAGGGTCGGGGCTTTTTGCCAGCACAGATACTTCAATTTTTGCGTCTTGATTTTCACACAATTCAGCTTCAAAATCCTCATCAAATGCAACTAAAGCAAGATGAATTAAAAGTTAGCACAACTAAGAAGTACTTATCCAAGGGAACAGTTCTTTGTTTCATAAAACACTGAAATATTGACGTGAAAGTGGTGAAACCACAAGAATTACAAAAAAAATAGGAAATCACTGCCATTTTAGCAATACAAGTATAAGCATACCAGAGCCATATAGAGTTAACTGCTTTAACTCTTTTATGTAGTACTTTATGATAAGGGGATTTGCGAGCAAGAGACCAGTTAAATGTAATGCAGCTAAGCGAATTGTACGTGGACTTTTAGTGCCTTCTTCAAGAATTTTTTCTACAAACTGCAAAAAAGTTGATGAATAAGGATCCTTTTTCTATAGCTTTCTATAGCTCTTAAAATTGTGTAATTTATAAAGAAACGCTAGAAAAACCGCCCACGAGGGGGGGGGGGGGGGCATTTAAAGAGGGGCAGCAACCAACCCATTTGAAAGGCCCAGGTGCAGTATCCACTTCATGCATTTGCTCATCACTAAATGTAGAACACTGCAATACAGAGGACAAAAGTGCAGCAATAGGAGCAACTCTCCTCTTCTTGCAGCTAACATGTAAGATCCAAGAAGAGTGCACTAACCTCCACATCATCTGCATTGACGATAAAATTAATTAACAACTCAATGCAATGTTAAATTGCAACTATATATTAATTTAAGTTATTAAGATTAAGATTCTGAACTAATGATAATCATGTTAACCTGCTGTCTTGCAATGTATTTGTTGAATACTGAGGATTTATAGGACTAAGTAGACTAGCAGAGCAGGTTGCGTTAAGAAGCGACCTCCAGCTAAATATTTATATATTGACTATGCTAGAATGTGACAATATTATGACAATGATTTATTTCATATGGAGAAAATTATAGCACTTCAGACACTGGCTTCTGACCAAGCAACTGTCATTTTGGCCCTTCAGACACACCTGAAGCGACCTCCTAACCCTAAGGGATCTCCATTGCACCACTAATATATAGACACTTTATAATGACAAAAATTGCCGCCACCTTGACAAGGACTTCAAATACACGATCTGCATAGCATGAATGTGTGACTTTAAAACCTCATGATAAATTTAAGCATAGAGCAATCCCACCTCAGTATTTATGCCAGCACAAGAACCCATTAACCCCTTATGTCCACGAACAAACAGCTCCAACAGCAATCTGACTGATCTTAGCATCGGCAAAACAGAGGCCTCACCAGCATTTTCAAGGCTGCAAGTTCATATAGTGTAAAACAGATCAAATTGCCCTCTGCATGAGCAGTATGCTGCGATTTATGTACCATAAGCTTATTTGATAAGTAAAAGCTTTTGTTTTCAAGGGTAAGAGCATGCTTATTGTCCATCTGCATATAACAGATTCATAATCACTTACTTGTCAACAAGATCATTGAAAGTCAATCTTAGTATGTCATTTGATAAGTAAAAGCTTTTGTTTCCCAAACATACTCCATTCTGAAAAGCAAACTTGGGAATTGACAGCAAAGATTCAAGGCATATCCACTGAAAGGATTAGAAGAAGTCAATCAGCATGGCTTACATTATACTTACTAGCAAAAACTTCAAATGATTTGGTTAAAGAGTGAGTAGATGATTTAGTTAACCACAAAAAAACACAAGAATTAAAAATGATAGCCTCTCGTTACTTCACAGTTCACTATAGACTATACTGAAACAAACCAAAATGGAAGATGCGACTAGCCTTTTCCAATCCCGAGATTCACTAGACCGCGGCTACCTCCAGAGCATAAACAGTCTACTACAACTCACACATGATTTTCTATCCCAGACCATTAAACTAAAGTGGTTTTAGATCTCCTGATAATCAATCATTCTAAGGATTTGGGTTCATATCTATGGCAAACAAAGATAAACTCCTTTTGGGCTTGTCCTTCCCTTCCATATTCATTTTCCATCATATGCATGACGAAAAGTATATGAACACTTCAAAAATATTTTTCTTTGCAAATAAACATACTAAGACATGATCAATCACCTTCCAGTGCAATAAAACTGCTCGCCTAGTGCGGACGAGCATCCCAGAACAAATTAAATTGTTAATGTTCGGTAGGAAAGCACTAAAAAAGGAATCCAGACTCAGTTTATCATGTGCTTCTGATAGAGGTAAAACATCATTGAGTTTTAAAGGATCCAAAGATACAAGAGGAAATATTGACGCCATTTCTTTCAAAGCATTGCCCACTGCTTCATACGCTGCTAGAGAGATTTCTGCTCCAATCTACTAATGACAATCCAGCCAATCAAAGATAGATTAGTTAAAGAAAGGAAACCCAATTAAATATACTCTCTGTCTCTCTTCATTCCTTAATTGACCCGTTGCTTTAGAAAGAAATTTTTTGTTCTGAAATAATTGGTTAGTTTCAAATGTCAAGAAAACAGTACTCGCACATTCTGGCATTCTGCACAATTCTCTTTCATCTTTTATATGCTCCACGGTACTTTATATACTTTTATTCCATTAATGATACTTGAGGAGTGATCAAGTCATATTATAGCATATTAGTTTATTTGAGGAAACTTCATTGCTTACTTCAGGTGTGTCTGAAGGGCCAAAATGACAGTTATTTGAGAATGGGGAGATGTATTGCATATTTGCATATATATAAAACAGAGAAACAGCATGCAGCTACTATACATCATGTCAGAAGCACCTCTGAGTTCACGGGTGAGGATATAATAACCTCCCAGCAGGCATTCCAGAGGTAGGCTATGGCAAAGTCAACTGGAGCATCTCTTTTTATATGAATGCACCACCTTGAGATAGAAGCTAAAGATTTTATGGCTGTTATCTGTTCATCCAAAATTATATATGATTATAAAAGGTTGCAATCCAAAAAAAGTCAAATTTTAGCATTCAAGAGAATGACATTTTATATCAAGAATTCAATGAGTATAACATATTTCATCAAAATATTGCAGTGTAACACGCGGGCATCCCTCAAATAGAAACACAGTGTGTCATCCCTTCCATTTCAAGGTGGGAAGACAAGAAACTAAAACGAAAATAGATTTGGAGTATGTAAAAGGATCATACAGCTGTCAATACAGAGCTGGTAATAGAAGATCCCATCCGACGCTGACTTGGACCTCCTAGCCTTCCTTTGATGGAACCAGAGAGAACTCCGTCTTCTATTACATTTTTCGGGTAAAAAATGTCGCATGACAATCTTGCAAATAAGACCAGTGAATCCTGCATATGGATAACCGTTTGCTTTAGACAATTTTACTTTTCCTTGTAAGCTTCACTTTAGAGAAATGTGAAGACATGGTATAGATGGAATAGAGTTTGGATAAGGGTCTAATTCATACCAGCAATGCACAAAATGATTTGGTAAACCTCTCAAACATACGAGAATCCTTTGTCATAAGAATGTCATCTGCTTTTTCATGAGAGTTCACGCCTGGTTTCAATCTTATGCGTGTGCAAAACTGGACCCTATCTTCAATTATTTGTAGTTCGTAAATCAAGCTCAAAATCAGGATGAGAAACTTCACAGGAATCCACTCCAACAGGGTCTTCTCTTTGCAAATGTCAGCACCATGTTCTTGAATAAACTGCAAACACATTTTTCCTGGTATAAAGAATCCCAGATGACACGCAAAACAAGCAGTGCTGCAAAATTAGTTAGGTGGGTGGGTGCTCAGGTGATGCCTAGCCTGCCTAGGGTGCTAACCAGGTGCATATCCCACTTAGGGTGCCTATCAGTACCTAACCCGACAAAAAATGAATAAAATTGAAGGCTCCAGTGGCAGTCTAGACTACTTTCTGGAACAGTTCATAGAGGAAGGTGGAACTATGTGCATTGAAGATGTGTCTGACATTGGCACAGACAAGTTGAAGATGCTAGAGAGATCGTTACGGGGACATCTCATTCCCAATAACTCCCAGATTAATTGGTTCTTCAGTTCTTCCTAAAAAGCATTTCAATTGTAGTCTGAAATATTCTGAAATATTTTGTCACAGGAAGGAGATTTAGAGTTTCTTTTAAGTACTTCACTCTCCCAGTCTCCTTTGAAATTTGGGCCAATTCATGGCAGAAACAACATTATGAAGACAATGTATGTACTGCCTTATTGGTATAGAGAGTTTTAGTCTTTTGGATGGATAGAGGTTGGGAATTATTTAGTAAAAACTCAGTTTTTAGTAGGGTTTCTGGAAATAAAGAAAGTGTTGTGACAGTACGGTGTAAGTCCCTAGACTTGTAGCTCTAATACCAACAACAACATCCAAGCCTTAGTCCCAAAAGAGTTTGGGGTCAACGCTAAAAAGGATTAAAAGATAAGATTAGATTAAAAAAAAGTTAAAATAAAGATAAGATAAAGGTAAAGATAAGAAAAAGATAAAAAAAAAATCAGATAAAAGGGATAAAAAGATAAAGAAGATAAGAAATAAATAGTTATTGATCATATAAAGATTTTTCCTTCACAAATAGTATTAAAATATCTATTTACCCATGTGGCTTTACTCCCCCATGGCCTCATATGGAAAGGATAACACATTAAACAAGTAGGTTTACAGGCAGAGTAGTCTGTCTATACATGTCATGTAACATTGCATGGCTATATATAGAAAAGCTTGAAACTAACATTATAGAAATCTAAAAAATCAAACAGGCAGAGGCAGTTCTAAAGATGCCAAAAGGTGCAAACCATGAATATGGGATCCAATTCTTGTTCCCTTTCAATTATGAGAAAAAGCACCCTCGCCCATCTTTTTGCTTCAAATTCCCATGCCTCCAAGTCTTCATCATCATATGTCACGAAGCTATGTAACATGCTATGGCAACTTATAAACTTTTTTGGGAAACCACATAGCGCCTGCAAAAGTTGAATATTTAAGTTGCTGCAATTTGAAGAAAGATTCATCTTGAAACTCTGGAGCCATGTCTGCACTTTGAATCTCAACGAACCTAGTAGAATGTGAACAACCAATGGAGGACATTAATGTTCCAGTTAGAATATCCTTTTTCCTTTTGTAGAGAGCAGGAAGATAGTTTAAAGCTGGTGTACGGATAAGTGCATTCAGTACTTATCTTTTTCTTCACATTTTAATATGAACTTGATTTTTTTTTTATCAAGTCAATTATTAGCGGAATGGATTATGGTTGATATCAACTTACAAAGTTAAATAAAGAGTATAACAAACCAACAGTCATGGACCCGGAAATGTCACTGACAATGATAATACAAAGACAAGCAGGTCAAGATGGCAACTTGAATAAATTAGAGTGAAACTGAACAAGTTATTGTTTACTTTGGCATGTTTTAGAGTTTATAAGTGACTCACACATGCACAAGCTATTCATTAGAATTTTGTGGACCATTGAGCCAGTTGCATGAGCAAACAAACAAATTTGAAGACAAATAAAATTGCTACTGAAGCTTCAAAAAAATTTAATGCTCCAAAAAGTAAAAGTTGAAGGAAAGAATATAACTCTGCAAGATATAACAGCCAGTGGCTGGATTTTCCCAAAGGACAGCCCCGTGGTTGACAGCTGCCTTTATCACTTCAACATTTGGGGTAACATTATCTTCAACCAGACAACATCTTCGGAGGATGGTCAAAATGTTCTCAGGGAGCCTGTCAGAGGGCGTCCACCTCAGTGAACCACCTTTGTTGCAACCACCTTAGCTAACTAACCAATTCTGTCTTTTTAATTGGAAGGACCCCGATCTTGATGGAGTGCAGACCACCCATGGCATGAAAACTACAGTATAATAACCGACCATCGACCATGTCTTTTCCATGAATGTGTCCAACATTACTGAAGGTCAGCTTTGCCTTTTGGACTGGCTACGGCCCACCAAATGCAGCGCAACTTATCCGATCAGTACTAGCCAAAAGGCCTCTGGATTGTGACAGAGGGCACCCGCCATCTGTATTTTGTTTATAAAAGGAGTAGCTTGTTCCGAGTTTAGAACAGACCATTCCAAGTCTAAAGGTATATCTTCTTTGTTCTTCCCGGCAGTAGCTCCTCCTTTGCAGCAAAGCTTGAGTTTTCACAACTTCCTCAAGTTTGTTCTTAAGAGTAACTTTATATGTATTTTACTCCTTTAACTGCGTAGATTATGAATATGAAGTTCTTATATCCAATCATGTATTCGTGTTAGGTATAAATTTTATGTTTCAATTTGTTTGAAAATTTTAGTTTTAGTTTTAGGCTTTTAGCTCTAGATTTGTTGTTATTTATATAAACATTATTTTTTTGAATGTGTAGAGCAATTATATGATGTTTGTCTTTCAGTTTTGTTAATTGAAAATTCTGAAATTTGATAATTTATATTCATAATTTTCATTCTTGTATATTTTATCATGCTTGCAATAATTTCTTGCTAATGTCTCTTAATTTATTATTTCAGTTGACGAATTTAGTCATGACTCGTGAACTGTTTAGCTAAGCCATTTTTGGGCATGAATTAAGTTAAAGATTATGGGTTGACTTGGTTATCTTTTGGGAATACGGCTTGGATGTTGTTTGTTGTTGGGTTGACTTGGTTGGCCCAAAATTAGGAGTTTCAAGTTTGAATTAATTGTTTAGACTGGTCTAAAAAGTTGAACCTGATTAATTGATAAAACTGGCTACTTTTTAAACTAAACTTGAGAAAGTTATTTCTAACTTGTCTCTTAGATTAGAAATAACTTAAGCAACCATATTGAGTGCATTAATGAAGTCTCGAGATAGGATATTTATTGCAAATATTAAAAAATTTAAATCATGTGTGTGACATAAAATCACTAGCCCACCTCTAATAAAAAATACTGCCAATTAGACGAAGGAACATACCATATCTCGAATATTCAACTCATCACTCTTAACTGACTTAATCATTTGATGTTGACATTCTAATTGAATTCGCTTTGTCATTCAATTTATTTGTACTCACTCTAACTATGCTCAATTTGAATTGACATTCTTGCTCAATAATTAAATTCATGTTGCAAGCCTTGTTATTTAAGTTGTTATTGCCAATATTTAATTATTTCACAATTTAACTTTCCAGTTTTAAAATTATAAGCTATCTAGGCCTTTTTATTCAAATATTACTATTAATTAAGAGATTTCTAATAAAGTGAGTTAAGTTCCAAAAGTCCAAAAATATGACTTTCAGCACACCGTTGCACACCAAGGAACAAGGCCACTAATTCAGTGGCACACCAATCCATTTAACATCATGTATAACTAAAAGGCCAATAATGAATTTTAATCCTGAAAATGGGAAAGAGTTACCCCTGTATCCACAACCGCCACTGTTACCATCAGCGTCGCCAACAGTCTTGCTGCACCACCAACAGTCTTGCCGCACCACCTCCAGTGACTTGCTCCGGCCACAGTGACTCCGGTCAAAGTGACTCTGACCATCATAGTGACTCCGCCGCAATAGTGACCTGCCACCACAGTGACCCGTCGCCACAGTGACCAGTCGCCACAGTGACTCCGGCCACAGTGACTCTGTCCAAAGTGACTCCGCCATCACAGTGACTGCCCACTGACCACAATGACTGTCCACCGATCACATTGATTGCCCACCAGCCACAGTGACACACCAATCCGGTCACGGTGACACGCCGTCTCCGGTGTCCCCTGCTCCCTCAGCCCCGTCCTTAACCTACCCCGCGCTAGAGCGGCCCCCTACCATCAGACCGCCGCCGTCGACCACCGCCCCCAACCTCCAACCTACCACCACCATCATAACCTTAGCCGCCAGTCCACCGACTGCCGCCGCCCCATAACTGTGCCCTCCCCTGTCCCAGCCCTCTCTCAACGGCCAGTCACTTCTTCAGCCTCCCCTTCCCAACTCTAGCCCTCTTCCAACCACCACGTACCTTGAATGCCTTGGATTTAAAATGTGTGAACTCTAGCAGCCTAAGCATAGGTAAGCCTGCATCGGCTACCCATCGTCGTCGCCATATATCGCCCAACCGCCAAGCCCTAGCCTCCGCCCTCTAGCTACCTCAATCATCATTTTCCACGGCCAACACAAATTGGACGGAACAACCGATCGATTAACGAGAAAGAAAGAAGGAGAAGAAGAGAAAGATGAATAAGATGAACCTGTTGCCAGTGAATCAGACGGAGGCGGCGACGATTGTGATTTTGTGTTGGCGGAGACGATGGGACACGTTGACGGAAAATCGAAGGGACAGAGGGGAGGCGATGATGGCAGAGCGAGGTTTCGGCGGCGAGAAGTGTTAGAGATGGCGGAGGCGGCGTGTCATGGTGGAGGGGGAGGGAGAAGATTGCAAGGGAGAGAAGATTGGGAGAGAAGAGACGAAGGGAGATCAACTGGGTAAGTGGGCTGGAGGAAAAAGTCATATTTTTAGAAAAATTTAAAAAAGTAATGTTTTGGTAAATCAAAACACGCGTAGTGATACTCCTGCAATTTTTTCAGCTATTTACTAAAGCAAACCAAAGAAAATAGTTTACTTGAGAAATCTTTCAATAATTAGCAATCACTTGACAAACAAATAATTAGTAAAGTTAATTGAGAAACACATCCATCATCGTGCGCTCATGTCCGCGTGAGTTGCTAAAGATTAGCACATCTGACTCTACATATCACCAAAATATGTGTGGCTTGCTTGCTTAAGTGTGGCTTGGGCAAGATACATAAATTAGTATATAAGTTAGTCTGGCTGACATAAGATATTTAAATTTGTTAGTCTAGCTTACACAAGATATATGAATTGGTACATGTGTAACCAACATCCTCTTTGATACCCTAAAATTTAAATTAAGGTGAAACACATGTGATAATAAAAATGAATACTAACACAAATGGAGCTAGAAGTGGAAAGACGTATGACCAGACTAGTCTAGAATGCAAAATGGAACAAGTGACATAAAATTCTCCATACCCCCATTATCAGTCAGTTCTCGTGGCAAGCTTGCAGCAAAAAGAAGTAGTGTTTCAAGAGGCACATCATGTGGAGCCATCACAGACATAACAGCATCAAGAATTCCCTCACAAACTGCGAACATTGAGAGAACATTCATAATAGTCTTAATAGATATTAAAGATGTAAACAGATAAATAGCTAATGTGAAACCTTGATGCCTATACGCGGGATTGAAATGCTGTCTACTGTTTTCAACAAAATATCTGCACAAATCCAGAAAGTCTGCTTTCTCTGTAGAAGTGTCTTGTGCAGATCTGTGCATAGTGCCGACCAATACACCATTCTCTGGATCATTTTCAGAATTGCTATGCTTTTTAACTCCACAAGCAGCAGATAAAATACACTTCACGAGGCACATTAGTCCAGGTCGCCCAAAATTGATTGTTTTAGCAACAGATGCCAAGCTTCTAAGAAAAGCCACCCTGTACGAAACACAATTCTGTTAATTATTAAGAGGAGGGAAAAGGCTTTCCATTCTATTGTTAGCCTAGGACTGCAGATATTGACTCAAGGTTAGCAGAAAATAAGGAGTAGATTTCAGCTATTAGTAGAACCATCGTATATGTTTCAATCATTACTTCAGAAAGCTGGAATAATTGTTTCTCATATTGAACCAAACATTAGATATGCATATATACAGGGAACAGAAAACTGAAAAACAGGAGAGATAAACCATTTGATGAGTGAAATCAGATTGAAGAAACCAATGTCTGCTAAGTTGTGGTCCGATAACCAGGCTGCTGTACACATTGCCAATAATCCAGTATTTCATGAGAGAATAAAGAAAATTGAGGTTGATTGTCATTTTATTCGAGAGAAAGGATTGATCTCTACAAAGAGTCAAAGATACCTGAAGACTGGAGATCAACTTGGAGATTTTATTCATATTTTTTGGATGAAATGCAAGTATATTAAAAAGATCATCCAAAAGTAACAACATACATGTGTCAGAATTGACTATCTAAGCTAGTAAACTAAGCTAAAATAGTAACTAACCCCCCTCCCCCCCCCCCCCACCTCACGGAAAGGGTAAGGGAGAGAAGAAATTTTGCAAAAGAAATCATGACTAGCACGGGACAGGCCCCGGATCAGTACCAAAAATATGAACATAGATTCACAGCAAAAACTACCAAATATTGGGCCATAATCTGTCGGACCCAAATAAATTCGCAGAAGTCCAAGTCCACCTGAAGCAGTTAGGCTTCGAAGCCAGGAGGGCTCAAAAACCTTACTGCATCATCCGAAGTCCATCATCCCAGGCTGTAGCGAAGCCCACTTTGTTGGCAGCAACAAAGCCCATCAAACAAGCCCATCCCAGCATCCGCATCCCAGCAGAAGGATAGGGTTTGGAGTGTTCCTCCGGGTCAGCCCAATAGCACATCGCATCAAATGCGGGTGGCTATCTTGTTTATCCAAAAAACAAACCTAAGTGCAAATTAATATGCAATAGGTTCAACTGCTGATGCCCAGTCACCAGCAAACAACATACATTATTTTACCAAATTTTAGATGGCATCACTAGCTCATCTGCGCCAAATGCATATGAGTAAGGCTGAAAGGGTACAATGTGGATTCTTGATGTGGCATGATCATGATTAGAAAATCTTGTCACACCGCCAAAATTTCAAACAGCAATGCACATCATAGATGATGTCAATAGATCGGGATACAACTTTTTTTATCATTGCTCGCAACGTATTTGCTTAGGTGCATGATTGAGTAACTTCCCCAAATCTATAAAAATCACATGTGCATCTTTTTCCTATGATCTACCGGAGTTGAGACGATAAAGCTTTCAACTGACATCTAGCAGATTTGCAGTTTGGCATACATTTATGTATTTGGGTTTATGTTTATAAAGCTATTTTAGGGCATTCTTGATAAGGAAATTGGATTTAGTCACCAGTGTATGATAGTCCAACCTTTGATGGAGAGAGTTGGCATATACACGTAGAAATGTAGCAGCATCTTCAATTGTCCTTGTAGAATAAACACCTTTTACACCTGAAAATCCATATGCATCTAGTCAAGAAAAAGGAATAGAAAATGAAGAAACATGACTTTCTTTGTGGCACCTCCCTATCAAGATCTAACAAATACACACAGCTTAAAAGCCCCAACAAACCCCTGAACCTGGAAAAAAAGCAAACAGAATAGACTACAAAGCAATTTGTCATGCAGCATACTCTGCACTCATGATGGCTATCAACATCATAAAACTATAACAAAGGGTAATGTTTAATTTCTTCAAAGTGTGTAATGTAATAACATTATCCACGATCGACCATAAACATTTAATGGTTCATTTCTAACAATATACCAATTACCATTAAAGGGGGAACCACTTAGCTGTTTAGGAGCAACAAACATGAGTACATGACAATAGCAAATATCGCTATTCATAGCTCACTTTTTCCATGCAAGTAGAAATAACCTATACTAATGGCAGTTTTAGAATTTCATCTGATTATTCCTTCTTATTTTTCATCACAGACCAATTTTTCTATAATTCCTAAAATAAATCACTTATCGCAAGCACAAGTAAACACAAACACTGCATGAAGTCCTAAATCAATTAGCACTTTTGAAGTTTATTCCACCGGCCACATGTAATTGAACCTTGGGAGTGAAGTGTTGATGATGATGATGGTGAGGGGAAAGGAAAACAAACCAAAATCTTTATGGTGCACAGGATCATTCAAGCCTTCCATAAGTGGCCCAAATATAAAATTAGAGGGAATTAGTTTTGCACATTGTTCATACTTTATCCACTCAATACCCAGAAAAGAATGCATAATCAGGCACCTTACTGCATCATAAAACAAAAGCTGTTAGTTTCCAAAAATCAGATAGGTCGTCATGTGAAATAACAACACCAAGTAAAATATAGTAATGCCAAAAATATTAAATTCAAAAGCTCTTTTACCATGAGGATTATCATGGCAAAAGCCACGCTCCCACAGTAAAATTAACCAGCCAAAAGTTTCCTCTAAAGTGTCCATACACATCCCGTGAGGCTCGCTGTTTAATACAGTCTCTGTAGATGGAGAAGAATGCAGCAGCACAGTCATCTGAAGGGAAGCAAAAAGGTAAATAGACATCTGTTAAGTAGTAAATCATAAATGAAGTCAGCAGTCAAGGAACAAAAAAAATTGAGAACTGCTAATAATAATCAATGGCAAATGTGTACACATATGGTATAATAGAGAGGAAGTATTTCAAATCCCAACATATCATGAAGCAAAATACTATAACTACAATAAATCACCTCATATAACTACTATATTGTAGTGTTAAAATAAGTCCGGAGAAGTTCCACTTTGAGTACATTTGACTATGTCTTTCTTTTCTATTTAGAAAAAAACTAAACATAGGATTCACAAATCACATGTTAACGAAGGTACCAACGCGTGCAGATCATATTTGTAAGTCCGAACCTGGTGATTCCATGCTGCCACAACCAAGTGTGTACCATACTCTTCAAGCATTTCATACAAAAGAAAGAATGCCTCCCATTTCTGTGAACTTCTAGAAGATTTAGCAGTGGAATTACGTATTTCACCAATCCCTAGAGACTTGGCTTCTGTCTCAGCCCACCGATCTCTCTTTGTCATTCCACGAGGAACTGAACTACTCCCTTCAAGGATTTTAACACTAGAGTTGATTTGAGGTTCCCCACTTGAATATATTGTTCGTCTCAAAGTGTGCAGGGATTGCTTCCTCACTAAGCTCTCTTTACTGACCTAAAAGAATCAAGACAATAGAGATAATATCATCGCACCATGATTGTTGGAGTGTTTGGGGAGAAGAATGGGCCAATGCAGGAAATCAAATAAAGTTAATTTGAGACATTAGTTGTAAATTTAACACTCAAACCTTTTAGATTTAACCTAGACGAGCACTCTGTAATATATAATAGAGCTCGATGTACACTTTTACTCGGCTGATTAATAATCATCATCACCACCACCAGCAACTTAAGCCTGACAATGTTGGGGTTGGTGACATGTAATTTTTATAGTGTGAATTAATTATTTAACAATTCAACACTAAATTCATGCACACTGTGCAAACTGGAAAGGTTCAGTGCCTCCTTCCTGTCGCATCATTCTTAAGAAGGAATAAGGACATGAAATTCTAAGACCATAATTGTCATAGGGTTTATCAAATGCATGGAAAAATCAGGGAAGTTGAGATAATATACAGCAGCAATATTTTCCATGAATGAATAACATCTCTGATAGAGATCTCCAGAATTCACAACAATTTCAGTAAAGATTATCAAGAAACTGTAAAAAAACTTTATTGATGAAGGTATCGATTACAGAAAGAGAACAGAAAGGCCGAAGCCACCCAAAGCCGAAGCCCCCAAAAGATCGAGATGTTCAGTCTCGTATCCTTCCCAGTCCCAAGACCAAATGTCTAAAAGCCTGCTTTCTAACTCCCTTACCCATCTATTTATACTAGGGTACTCAGACCCTTATTACTAATATTATTATTAATACTTCTATTATTAGTCTAATATAAGTGGGTTCCTATCAATACACTATTATTAGTCTAATATAAGTGGGTTCCTATCAATACACCCTCCCTAAACAACCACCTTGTCCTCAAGGTGGGATGATAGGAACCAATTCTGCAATTCCGCTTCCTCCGGGTGCCTCTCCCCTCCCAATATCTAGCTGGTGGTGGTGTCATACTTTTCCAAACTTCTAGTCCTCTATATGAAAAACTCCTGATCAGCCTCAGCCTAGCATTTGCTTCTGACTTCACCCTATCTCTTGATTGAAACTTCACACTGAATATCTCATGCAGAACTTCATTCACACACATGTCAGAAGAAGGTCCAAGAGAACTTGAGTCATACTGTGTTTCTATATTTGAATTTAAGAACTCAACAATCTCCAATTGTATTCCCCAATCCTGACCCCGAAGTAGCATTTGTTCCATGATATTGCACTCCCTTCTATCAAACTTAAGACTAGGCCCATTCCTTTTGTTAACTGCACCCATCAGCATCAATACTTGACCATTCATCTTCATTTCTTTCACCCTTGAAATTCCTCTCCATTCCCATAGTTCCTGCTTCTTGCTTTGAATACTTATCCTGGTATTAGGATCACAAGAAACTCCGCTCACAGCTTTGATGTCATCAATTGGTAAAGGTTTCAACCATAGTGGCGGAAGATCTGGTGAATCAATAACCAATTCTTCACGATGTTGTCGTGGTTTGGTCCACATTTGCCTAACATAAGGTAAAATGTGAACATCCAAAGGCTGTATGCTACCAGGAGCCCTAATTACTGGAGTTTGCTGGTAACTCTTTGGGTTCAACCTCTGTAAAAACCTTGTGAAGACTTTATAAACCTCAGGAAGTAATAGGTTATGAGCTGTCATTGCATAGATGTCTCCCAACAATTGATAACTTTCATTTACTCTAAGGGAATTATGTAAGTCAGGCTTGGGGTAATCTAACATGCTCTCAACCCATGGCTGTAATTCTGCTTGTTGTAATTCGAGGTGTTGGCCATGGCTAGATTTATCAGCAGCATTAATCTGTGTGCGGTTTCCCCGGGTGATAGCAGATTCTTCAGAAAAAAGATAAACATGATCCTTATGAATCTTTGGATCAGACTTTTCAGGAACCATTAGGACTCTTTCCTCCCTGATTTCATCTTCCTTATTCCTTTGCTTGATTACAGGTTCAGTTGGTTCCATCTTGATTACAGGTTCATTTGAAATTGATGATTCAGCCGGATTCCATCTTGATTCGGAAACCTGGGACAAAGGTTTTGATGACATCTGCAAATCAGTAACAATTCCTTCTGATGACGATTGAAGATGATGATTAATTAGCGAGTTGGTCAAAGCGGTACTCGATTTCAAACATGGAGTAACATTAATTCGCTTAGAAGATTGCGAACTGGAAGTTCTTCGTGACTTGGATGACTCCTGTTTTACCGTCTTCCCTGTCTTCTGCAGGTGTTTAGGTGGAAAATCCCTAATCAAATCTTCTTTTAGTGCATCCCAACTGTCTTCTCTCTTGTGAAAATCCCACCATTGAAACCAGTCATCTGCTTCTTCCCCCATAGCCTTTGCTGCCACATCCACTTTAAATCTTTCTGCAATAGCTTGGACTTGGAAATATCTTTCCATCCTCCCAATCCATTCGTATGCTTCATGCTCGTAAAATAGAGGTAATTCCTCCTTTGAAATATCTGACTTCCTAGAATTGACTTTAGACCAAGAAGGTGAACTGTGAGAATCCTTTGGCGACGAATGTGATGATTCTCCACTCCCTAGCTTCTTTCTTGAACGCGTACTGATGTCCGTTGAGAAAGTCTGATGCGAAGAGCGAAAATAAGAATGATGAGAAGAACTCTGCGAAGAGTGATGTGAAGAGCTTGGCGAAGAAACAGTTCGATCGCCAGATTTTCTGCGATGCCTCAGATCTTCTGATTCCTCTGAAGTTGCTGACTTTAGCGAATTATGATGATCTTTACGATGCCTGTGAGGATCGCGATCACGCCCCGATGCAGAATCACCCGACTGATTGTCCGATCCTTCAGAACTATCTTTATACCTCGTACGCCCCTGGTGTGACGTAGGGTGCGATGAAGTCGATTTATGCGATCGACTCCCTGATCGACGTGGAGACCTATTCTGCAAATCCGCGATACTAGCTTGCATCGTGGCCAGAGTAGTCGCGATACTAGTTTGAAACTCCCGCAGACTTCTATCCATACTCGCCTGCCTCTCACGTTGACTTCTTTCCAATTCCGTCATTCTTCCTTCCGTCACGGTCATCCAGCGATCAACTGTCTCTGATACCAATGATAGAGATCTCCAGAATTCACAACAATTTCAGTAAAGATTATCAAGAAACTGTAAAAAAACTTTATTGATGAAGGTATCGATTACAGAAAGAGAACAGAAAGGCCGAAGCCACCCAAAGCCGAAGCCCCCAAAAGATCGAGATGTTCAGTCTCGTATCCTTCCCAGTCCCAAGACCAAATGTCTAAAAGCCTGCTTTCTAACTCCCTTACCCATCTATTTATACTAGGGTACTCAGACCCTTATTACTAATATTATTATTAATACTTCTATTATTAGTCTAATATAAGTGGGTTCCTATCAATACACTATTATTAGTCTAATATAAGTGGGTTCCTATCAATAAAGTGGGTTCCTATCAATCTCAAATTTGTTAAGACCCGGGGTTACATCCTAAAAGGTCAACCTTATAGGAGGAGTAGCCCAAAGTCTATATATGTTAAGACTTGGGGTTTCATCCTAAAAGGTCAACCTAATAGGAGGAGTAGCCGAAAGTCTTATATAGTTTTATTGTTTTATAGTTTTCCGGTGTGCGACAAATACTTTAACAAAATTAATAGACTAAGTAGTGCTTACCAATCCCTTTTTAATTTCATTCCAGAATTCTGTCTGATCTCTCAAATCAAACACTGTTTCATTGCTACGAACATATAGATCTTTTTGTTCATGAGTAACAGGAAAGAAAGACAAATACAAAGAAAGTGTTGCATATGCATCCCTTCTCTCCAAATGCCCCAAAGAGAACAGAGCCCTGCAGCTCTTCCAAAGGTCAGCAAGAATATTGCTCCTGGAAAATCACCAGTGAGTGTGAGTCATTTACAGGAAAGTAAAGCAATCCATTACATGAAATGGCTTTTTAATCTGATAAATACTTCATATTAAAAGTAATATAAAAACATATATCTACCGAGAAAGCACGTGAGCTTTCCCAAGTACTGAGACTTCAAAAGTAGAATGACAATCAAATGCTCCAAATATGGAAGGCAGCAGAATACTAATTGCAGAAGACCGATGTTCCATACTTTGCAAAAGCATTTCAATTGCCAAACTGGAAAGATCCCATACCACATTCGCAGCAAATACTTTCAAACAGAAACCATCTCCCACTTTCAATTCAGAAGTTTTTCCTATCGCTTGTAAGGTTTCCAGTACAACTTCCAATATCTGGGTCAATATGTAACAAGATGTCTGCAATGGAATATAGTTCGGCTCAGATTGAAATGTGATGTAGCTCATCTCAGCTTTTTTAACCTTGCAGGAAGCATCTTGTATAGATTGCAGAACAGAACACAGCCCACCTAAATTATCAGTATGGAAGTTCCATTTATATACAGCTAGCTCTTTACTTTGAAGCACACCCATTGATAGTCCAATTGATCTTAACAAAAAGGGCACAATGGTTGATTCAATAATTTTCCAAGAGTTTGTTGCAATGACTACTCTGAAAAGAGAATCTGCAACCTACATATCAGATGCATAAAGAAAAAATTAGCATCATCATCTACAAGTTAATCATAACTAGCTAGGGTCGGTGGAAATAATTCGTAGTGCCTATTAAATGTATAACTTCAATTAACACTATTATTCATGCAGAAAAGCATAGTGGCAAAGTTTTATGCCAGATGCCCTTACTGACCGTAACCTTCGTAAGAATGTCAAAATAGCTTATGCAAATATATGCACATACCTTTTTCAATAGCTCTTTGTCATATGAATGAACTAACTTCATCAAAGGAATAAAAATTTTCCAAATAAATAGCTGCACTGAATTACTATCAGCCCCTGCATAAAAACACCTTTAAATTATATTATCAAATCAACTTAATCTAAATTAGAATGAGACCAAATGCATACAATTATTTATTTAATTGCAAAAATAATGTTTTTATGTACAGCATCAGGATATTATGAAAATAAAATAAAAGTTGAACACAAAGGTGGAACTGCTGAATCCTTTATAGTCCTTGATAGGCACAATATCATAAGCAAGTGTTATTTTTAAAACATACAAAGTGGTACTAATGACGACCAAGGCACCAACTACCTTGAAAGAAAACAAACATTAGGTCAATAATGCAGATAATAAATCACATTTATTTGCTCATGGACAAAGACATGTGAATATTTGATAATCAACTAACAATCTAACATCATATAGTGAGCAACATATAGAGATAAACCCAAAAGCTCAAAAACATAAGGGTGTGAAAATGTGCAACATAATTCAACTCTTATGTAAATCAAGATGGAGACTCTTAAGATAGATAAACTGGAATACGTCTAATTTACATCATGACAAAGATAAATTATTATAAGAACTTTTTTCTTTTAGCCTGTTGGATATGAGGCGATTCTTGACTGAAATGGCTGAAGTGGCTAAAATGGTGGTTGAAAATGCTGATTTAGTTGAATGGACATCTAAAATTATTTTTATGTGGTAGAGAAAATAAAATATTTCCATCATTTCTAATGAACCCAAAGGCTCACTATTTTTTGGCTTGAGAATATGATGGAATAAAGCGAAATGGCTCACTAAACTGTCTGCGCTTCTTTGTTATGAAGCAGCAGTCAAGCCAGTCAGTCCATGCAACTTTCAACGCGATCTTCATCATGGGTCATCCGGAAACCGTTTCTATGTGCTTTAGTACAAGGGTAAGATTGCGTACATCCGACCCCCCCCTTATCCCACAATAGGTGGGAGCCTTTGCGGCACTGGGGTAATGTTGTTGTTTGTTTGTTTGTTTGGTAAAATAAAATATGAAAAGAAAGAAAGGTGAAGTGTAAATTTCAGTAATAAAAAGAAATCAATCGCACTACCTTTTTCTAATGAACCTATTCAGGCCATGCAGGACAATAATTTAGTGTTTGCTACAAAATATAGGTTGATAAGCAGTGTATGTTGTCTAGCCAACGGGGACCAAACGGATTCAAAACCAAAACAGATTTATGAAACATAACTCACCAAGCTTCATCAAAAGATGACACAACGCACCAACAAACGATTCGATATTGTTATGTTGTTCATGTTCCATGTTCTGCCCTTCCTGTATTTTTTCCTACACAACAGAATTCGTTTTGAACTCCACATATTAACTCAAGTCAAATTAAAGTTAGCACATCGATTCATCAAGTATCAACATCTAATGGATCAAATAAAAAAATAGAACAGCTCATGAGTTAAGTATTACTCCCTCTGTCCCAGTAAAGGTTCTCACATGCTACTTTTGGACAAATTAGATGACAAATTTCGGACAAACTGAGAAAGGATTCCATTTCCATTTTAGGAAATAAATACTCTTAGTTGACAAATTAATCATCACATATTAAAATCAATCAGTTATGTCAATAGCGGGCTATAGCAGAATAGCAGAGCGGGGTCTAGGCTCTATGGGAATGCCTATGCAAAGCGGTTGGCAATAGCGGCTGTAGCGGGCGCTATAGCGCCGCTATAATTTACAGGGCAACTTCAGTTCTAATTGAGGGAATTTGGGAGTACTTTTTACTTTTAGATGTTTTTGGAGTAAAAAATAACCTCAATACACCCTCCAAAACACGTGGGGGACAAAATAACCCTACTAAAAATACTCAAAACAGAAACAAGATCAAACATAACCTACACCATACATCTCCATGTTAAGGTAGTTCATGGCAATTCCAACAACCATGATTTTCCTATAATGAGATATTAATGAGACAATTTTATCAAGAATTATATGGAACTTAATTATTATGTTTAGAGGTAAGGTACTTAAATTATTTTTTTCTTTTGTTGAAGACATTAATGCCTCGTTATTGGTAATTTAGCAAGTGTGGACTATAAATTTCATGACATTTGAGTAATATATTTTTGAATTATCATTTCTTGGAATTGATATGTGCATGACATGTAATTGTATGCATACAATCATACATATAATATGTATTTTGCATATATATTGTCTAAATAGTGGTCATCCCACTATCCGCTATACCACTGTAGTGTTTCCAGGGTTGGCCACTATCCATGATTGACAACACTGAAATCACTACACTCATAACAGCACAATTATCATCTAGTACCCCATTATATTATATATATTCATCCGAACTACTTCTCAAACTATAATTAAATTGTCTTATTAAATTATTATTGGCTAAAAAGCTCACCATTTTAAATGAGAACCTTGAAGCGGGACCAAGGTAGTGTCTATTACTATGTACTTTGGTAAAAGTTCACTTTTTGAATGTTTTTCCCCTAGCAACCACTTATCTGGCCAAACTATTGCCTATTTCATACGAAGTATAACCTAAGCCAAAGTGGCAAGATAAGGTTCAAGACTTCTCTTTTTTTTTTACAAAAGCTGTTCAATTGCTGATTGTTTAGTAATTTTAATACCATATAACTTACTCAAGTGCTCTCCTCTAGCTAAAACGAAAACTACAATCAGAACTTTCTTTGGACTTTTATGTCCCAATGTGCACATTCCTTAAAAATGTGGTACCTTGAAATGTCTGGGAAACTCTTCAAGAAGAACAGAAAAAACTGAGAACGGAGACATAGATGTGGAAGCCAATATGCAATCCAGTATCCCCGGAATAGCTGCCGGTGGGACCTGCGGGAAACTGGTCAAGAGTGCATCAACAATTGGGTCCATTGGTCTGGTAGAGGCAACAGAAAAGCTGTGCAGATATATTATGGTTAAGAATTCAACTATAACGGCATAACATGAGTTTAATATGGCTGGTAAACCCTAGCTGGGATTTGGGCAGGGCAGAGCTTGGAAAAGTGGCAATGAGCAGACTTGGAAGAGTGTAAATTTTTCTATGCATGTTTTATCAAAGAGGGTGTATGATAGATAGAGGAGTGTTTGGAATTGATTCTGCTTCTGCTTCTTTTTTAACTGAGAAACAGAATTAGAATCAGTTTTCAGAAGTTGGGGTCTAAAAAACTGATTCTGAGAGTAAATTAGAGCTCCAGAAGTGCTTTTGGAATTTCACCCAAACACTACAGCTTCTGCTTCTGCTCCCTGAAGGAGCAGAATCAGTTTTGAGAATCAGATCCAAACACTCCTAGAATTAGCTATATAATTTTAAAAGTTTGTAAGAATTTAGGGTATTGAAGGTAGATTTTTAAAAATTAAAAATAGGGAAAATGGAAACTAATAATTCAACCTTTTAGCGTCTTCTTTTAATAGTCCCACCTTTTCGTTATTCATGAAAAAAAATCAAACCTTTTCACCTCATCTTCATTCACTGATCTCTGATCGGTTGATGACCTGCTATTCCAAGTTATTTTCTTATCTTTGCAAAATATTATCTATGTGAAAGGTGGAATTTATGATATAATAGTTTGCAGAGATAAGAAAATAACTCGGAATAGCAGGTCATCAACCGGTCGGGGACCAATAAATGAAGATGAGGTGCAAAGGTTGGATTATTCATGAATAACGAAAAGGTCGGACTATTAAAAGAAGACCGCTAAAAGATTGGATTATTAGTTTCCATTTTCCCTTAAAAATATTTGAATGTATTCAATGTAGATTTTTAAAAAATTAAAAAAAAAAATCTAAGTGTATTCAAATTTTCATTCATTTTTTAGAACTTTTAAAATCACGGTTCAAGTGGGCTTTTAACTCATTTTTAGTACAATAATTCTCTACAATTAAGATATATAGAAAAAAGAAACAGTGATCACATCTCATGAGAACTAAATCTCAAACTCGAATGGAGTTTTGAAGACTAGGGGTAGGGGTGATCTTGAGAGGGATTATATGTTGTACTATGGGTTCGGTTTTTTTCTTTCTCCTTTGCTCTGCTTATCTTGTTTTATTTTCTTCTTCCTTTCTTGTAATTTTTTACTTCTCTTTAAAAGAAATTAAAAAGTGATTTTTTAATGTAGGGTGAGATCGATTTGGTTTTGAAAGAAAATTTGGAACCGCTTTTGAGATCAGTTTTGGTTTCGAAGGCGGTCGTAGATCTGCGTCGGCTAGGGTTTCGAAGAAGTTCAGAAGAAATGAGTCAATGTTTTTAATGAGGCACCATTAACATTGTGTATAAAGAGATTAATTCATATTCTTCATGTAAATTTTTTTTTATTTGAAAGAAAATTTGACCATTACATTAAATCAAACTCGCAGAACAACTAGGAAAATTGCAAACCATAAAGTAATCATCCAACACTGACCTCCCTCTAAACCAACCTAACCATAAGTCCACCGGCCCCATAACTTCTTTATCAGACATAGCTTCTTTATAGTCCACCCCAAAAATAGCGAGATTAATCACTGAAAACATGAAAGTTTTAAGGCATAAAGTTTAGTGAGTCATTTTGTTTTATTCCACCATATTCTCAAGCAAAAAAATAGTGAATCTTTGGCTTCATTGCAATTGATGAAATATTCTGTCGAAACAAATCACATTCCCAAACAAAACATATTACTATATATAGAGAGTATAATAATAATATAATAGTAATAGAGTACATAGTTTCAAGAGGGATAAAATATGTCGAAACATGAAATATTCTGAATTTGACTATTTAAAAGGAGGAAACTTTACATAACATTCCTTTCACTTTGAACATGGCTAAAAAAAATAGCCTTCCTTTATGCATTATACAAGTAAGTCTATGATAACTTCCCTTTTATGTGGTCCACATGAAACTAAAAGTTTGTTTATAGACGGAATAGTAATTTTAGTTTAGTATGAGCCAAGAAAATAGTAATTTTACATGCCTATGATATACATATGCGCGCACACACACATAAATATACTCCCTCCGTTTCTAAAAGAAAGTCACGGTTTGACTTCACGATTATTAAGGAAATAAATTGACTTTATTGTAGAAAACACTGTTTAGACACTGTTTGACACTGTTTGGACACTGTTTGGCACTGTTTGGCACTGTTTGGCACTGTTTGGATGTAGATTTCTTTGCCAAATAAGGAAATAAGGGAAGTGTGACTTTTATTTTGGCACATCCAAAAAAGGAAAGTGTGAGGTTCTTTTAGAAACGGAGGGAGTATATTAAGTCAAATGTATACACATGTATATTATATACTTCGTATATTATTTTGAAATATGTTTGAGAATCTTTTATTAGACTCGATAATACAAACTCGTGAAAAAAAATCATGAAAATGAAAATGAAAATAAGCAATCTAGTATTTATTTGTAGTTTTTAAAATAACTGCAAGATAAAAAATTAATTGTATATGTAAGAGATCCGACAAAAGTCACAAAATAATATTGATTTGTTATCATCCTCGGTGTTATAATTAGGGGATTGTACACTTTCTTAAATTTTTAATTAAAACACACAAAATAGAATTATATTGAGCTAGTTCAAAATAAAGTTGACAACATAAATATATCACACAGTTGGCAATGTGTTAAGAAAGTTTTAAGCATATAGCTAAATATTTTGTTTTGAGGGTCTTCCTTTAATTTTCCGAGTATGGAAATCCTTCAATGCAAGACTCAGAAAATATGTTGGCTATCAATTAAGGGCATGAAGGATAAAAGGTATCAGTTAAGGACTCGATTGATTCAACTCAATCAATTAAAAAACTAAACCATCATGGGTTTTGATTTCTTTACTGTAGAATCATTTTATTTCTATTTTTATACTGGTTGTACAATAATTTTTCAGTTTAATAAAACCAAATAATATTTAAAACAAACATTGAAATTCACAGTGCTTTAAGTCTTAGATTTATACTTTTCAATCATTGGAGTTCGATACCAATAATTTTTATCTTCAAACCCTTGATTGATAGTTATTGTATCTTATAGGTCATGATTTGGAAAAATCTAGACAAGCTTATAAATTTCTAAAATAGATTATATCTAAACTTTTTTATATGAGAATAATATTATTTATTATTACTTACTTTAAAAAGTATTATATCACTAAGTGATATACACTAGAACAGTCCAATAACGCATGATTTAAACAATTAAGGTAACACCATATCGTATTGTGTTGAAGCCATTCAAAAGCAAGCATTTAGAGACTTTTTAGTATAACATATTTTACACTAACATATAAAAAAGAAGAAGTGCAAAAAATATGCTTTAAGTGTGACCCTCAAATGGATATATAAAATGGGAAGTAAGTAACTTAATTTTTAGGATATAACTTATAAAATACACAAACATGTAGCGAGAAACACAAACAGGTAAACTACATTATATATAATGTTTGCTCAAATAATATTAAATGTGTAATAAATCTAATTAGTTTAGTATGCGCCTTAATAGCTAGATAGATGGTGCTTACAACAAATGAAACTATAAACAAACCTTTAAAATAGACACACTAACGTAATAAAAAGTTATAGTGGTAAGGTAAAAATAAAATGATTAAAATATATACAATCAAACTATAAAATGTTTGAATTGGGTTATGTACCTAATTTTGAAGAAGAAAAAGGTGAAATACACCAAAACAGTGCTCTTCGGAAAAATTAGTCAATTAAGCCATAAAAGTAACACGAGTCTTACTTATTTGATTATCGCATAATGTATCACGCAAAATCAAAATTCTTGCTAATAAGGTTAATAAGTTGAAGATAGAGGGCCCTGATTATATCTAAATTAAAAGGAAAATATAAAACTATAGGAAGAATCCCTATATAAAACAAAATGAAAAAGGGAAAATCTTCATAAAATTCGCGTCAAACATTCTAATTATTTTAGCAGCCGCTTCTTTTGTTTTCTCTTGCACTAGGGAAGGGAAATTAGTTTTCATCTAGTCATCATCACATTGCCCCATGTTGTGAACCCATAAGTTGTGAAAAACCTAATCCAACTTTAACTTTTGGATCATGGCTATATAACATACGTGCAGGTATGAAATTTCTACTTCTCTGTATCTATATAATCCTTTCAATCTACTTACATAGGTGTGTGACAATATTCATATATTAATCCTTAGTGGAGTGGTTGTTTTCGTATGGGGAGGGATGAAGATGGGTTTAAGGGGCCGTCGGGATATTACCCCTTAGAGTTCAGGGGAAAACAATATACATACATTACTTGTATATATATTTCATATATATACTGTAGTTCTTCCCTCCCTTAATTTTAAAATAATTTAAATCTCTAAATAATATGAGGAGTACTCAATATGACTTGTAACGTCTTAAACAGAAAATAAACTAAAATAATTCAATTTAATTTATGTTTTCCTCATCAACATAAAAGTTACTAATATTTAGTATAAACTAAAATAACAATAGAAAATTAATTGATTTAAGATATATGTTATCATAATAATATACATGTAGTTTTACAAATTTATTTTCTATAGGGACTTACTTTACAGTTTTCGTATTTAATTATTAGGAATTGAGAATAATTTGAGTACCAAAATAAGATCATCGAACTTTATATATATTTCATTCACATATAGGATAAATATACAAAAATTAACTGTTATTATAATATTGGGAATAAATAACTAGCACCCGATTTAGCCACCCCGGTTGAGCTTTGATGATCATCGTCGGTTTCCGATAACAAATTCTAGATTTCGTCCATGACAACCGAATTGGTCACCATGCCAGACTCAACCACCACAATTAATCACAATCACTATCAAAAGTCACAACTTTATTAAAAACATAACAAAGGGAATGCAATTAAGGGAGCCAATACTCTAAACTTCAATGACGTATTGAAACAATCACCGCATCGGCAGAACAAACTCATTTAATGGCCACATCACATCTATAGAACACCATCACAAAACAAATTTGTAAAATACGGACATTATGGGTTGTAGGCACTATAAAGCACCACAACTCAATAATGTCGTTTGTCGAA